CACCCCACTAGGCACGCATAGGATACAAAAGCATAGCGGAGACGATTTTGAAGTAAAAGTCAATATCCTTGCACGGGAGTCCAAAACACCAGTGCGAAAACTCCTAGAGGCTTTTCGGATCAATGCCAAAAACCCTACAATGAATAGCAGGGACGAATGCCCGGAGGTCATACGCGACCTGATCCCGTACGTTCGCATCGATTTTTGATGTGGGATGGTGCAGTCGTCAACCACATGCGACTATAATCAGCTGTTCTAAACTTCCTCATTGGAAGTCACAAAAAAGGGGTGGGTTTTTCGAGAAGTTGTTGATCGTGTAATTACCAAAGAGCCTTTCGTCTTTGTGTAAGTGTTATTGAAGCGTTTGGCCTAGTAGATTGTATATCAGTATACCCTTCCAGGCTCTGAAGAAGGCGATACTGCCGAAACGTCAGCTAGCGTTGTATTGTATTGTGTTTTTATGGAAGTAAATGTATGCTGTTTAAAAACCTCGCGATTGCTGAACAAGAAAACGACACACTAAACCAAAATTTCAACCATATCGAACACAGAATAGTTTCTTTGCACACTCATCGCTTCCTATGAGTTCCCCACTGAATATGTCACGTGGAGATCAGTCGCACGGACTTCACATGGAAGCGTGCCCTTCACAGGATAACAGGTTTAAATACCGTCCGATATCACGCTTGGTTATGGAGCGTTTCTCCCTGCGGTTCATTTTCGAATTCTTGGAATTAATTCAGAATACCTCGAGAATAGTAAGACAACTAAGTGTTGTATTTGATTTATTTTTGAAATATTTTTCATCGGAAGTGGTTAGATGGCGAGATTGTAGTAAGGTTATTCTTTTCTTTCTTTTCTATTATGAAGGAATGGAAGAATCAACACGACTAAACTTCTACCATAAATTTAAGAAGCTCAAAAAGTGGGGTTCAATCTACTCGAAATTTGTTTTTTCTTTGTTATTTCTTGAATTTAATGTCGAAGGAGAGAGAAAGAATCGTTTTCATAAACATTGTTAAACTTTATCATTCCTTTGAAGGTAAATCGCTTATGTTTTGGGTTTTACGCGATGGCACCGGTTACTTGCAGTGTGTTCTGAACGATGTTTTGGTAAGATCTTGAAAGCTTATGATTTCTTTCTAAACATATATGCTTTCATAGGAACTCTTGTCTAGTTCTTAAGAATCCCACTCTTCAATTGCAGTGCCAGTGCTATGATGCTGTCACTCTGAACACTGAAAGTGCGGTAGAAGCTTACGGAATTATCAAGAATGTGAGTTATCATGATGATATTTGATTTAGCAGAAGATATGACGATTCACGTGCTTCCACAACGTTGTAAAATTCGTAATTAATATTTTAAAATACGTATTTAGGTGCCGGAAGGAAAACAAGCTCCAGATGGCCACGAACTGGTGGTAGATTACTGGCGACTGATTGGCGATTCTCCTCCTGGAGGCATTGATAACGTTCTAAATGAAGAGGCGGGTGTTGAAGTGATGCTAGACAACCGGTATGTTTTAGACAGTTGGACAGTCAGTAAGCATTCCATAGTTGGACTGATTCAGTGAAATGTTCCTTTCTAGACATCTCGTCATACGTGGTGAAAATGCCTCACGAATATTGCGCATTCGAGCCGCAGTTACTCGTGCAATGCGTGAACACTTCTATCATGCGGGATACACCGAAGTTTGCCCACCAACTCTTGTGCAAACTCAGGTACGTTCTTTCTTACAGCCCATTGGTTCTTCGTAAGGGTGAAGATGGAAGTTTCTTATCTTTTTGTGCTCTGCATAGTTACAGTTGTTTGTGGAGCGTCAATAGTTTAGGTCGAAGGTGGATCAACTTTGTTTGCCTTAGACTACTTCGGTGAACCGTCATATTTAACGCAATCTTCTCAACTATACCTGGAAACGTGCATTGCTTCGTTAGGAGATGTTTACTGCATTGCTCAGTCATATCGGTTAGTTTATTAGTAATTCTTTGAGTTAAGGTGAGATGAAAACAAATTTTGAACCGAGTTATTTCATCCTATTTTTCTTTTTCTTTGTAGCAGTATTAACACGTAAAGTTCATTATGGGCTTTCATTCCACGTGGAGATGTCACTAAGCTGGTGTAAATTTGCACAGCTTTTATTTTGCTGCGCAAGCTTTTTCCACTGCCTATTTTATGTAATCGATAGTTTACTCCAGCATTTATCTGTGTGTTGATCATCGGATGGTAAATGCCATTCTCCGCACGAGAATAGCATGCATTTATGCCATTAGATCTAAACAGAGGATTGTCAGTCACTGCTTTTGGTGAATGGCAAATCCGTAGGCCTTCTTGAATGATGGAGGAAAGGAGTCGAATGAAGGAAATGCTGAGAGATCCTCACAAGTCACGTCTAGTCGTGTAAAAATAAAAATAATACCTTGTGTTGAGTTTCGTTCACTGAGGTGAAAATTCTTTGAATCCGTAGATTTTTTTTAAACGGGGCATGACTCTTTCTATTCTGGGAAAATGAAATTCTGATCTTGTGAGCTCCAAGGACTAAGTTCTTCGCTGAAGCTCGTTTCAAATTGAGAAGGAATTGAGTAAATGAAATTTTGGATAATAGGAAACACTGGTGTTCTACAATCTATTATTAATCATTGCAGCTGCCGATCACGATTTTAAAAATTTGGAATTCTGGATTCTTTTTTCAGTTTTTGTGGAATTTGGATTTTTAATGAAGGTTGGTGTGAAAAAGAACTTGATTCAAAATTTCGGAAAAATAGTGCATATTGTCAAAACGAATCAACGTCCACACTACAAGTCTCCCATGTTCACGAGTGACAAAGTTCTTTAAAAGCTACCGAAGAATTATCGCGGGCTATTGAAAAATTATGAATGTTGTTTAGAATTTAAAGAGGTTATTTTTATCCTTTTTATCAAGAAACCTTCCATCTTTTATATTTGTTTTTTTTTTATATAAATGGACATCAGATATTGTATGGAAGGCAATATTTAATCTGTTCGGTTTGTCGTCTTACATCCGTCATCCACGAAGATTTTCGAATTTGCGTATGAGTTCGGTTGACGCTTGAGAATTTTGTCTTCCTAAGAGTCACCTAATATTGACTGAATTGATTCTTCCTGTGGTCGTGAAGTTAACACTACTGGAATGTTCTCAAATATCCACCACAGGCAGTTGCCAGCTTTTGTGGATCAGAGAAGTTCAGACAAGCCTAGTTACAATTCTGGCGCCCACGGAAAGATGAGAGGCTTGGTTGGCTATTTTTGCTCTGAATCTCTGTCCACTGCGATTCTTGTACTGTTCGTCTTCCTTATGTATTGGGAATGTGAAAACTAATTTCTACCATTCATTGATTGAAATTTCATTTTCGAACCACTCGATAAATTACGTCGTATGAAATGGGTGGATATAATAATTGAGGGCATGTGCTAGAAATGTATTGTGAGAACGGCTATCATATACTGAAAGTGTCTTTGTTGGATGACGGGCAAGTTTGTTTCACATATACAACGGTTGGAAATGTTCTATAAGCATGATACAATGTAATAAGAACTTATGTGCCGCTTAGATAAAAAGATCGTTCGAAATCAATAGAAGGATGCTTGCAACAATAAAATTGTTGAGCGAAAAGTACAACGAACCGAGCGGATCGGTCAACATGAGTTCATTTCAGTTCACAGCAAATGAGTTGAAAATTAGGTTTCATTCAGATGTTGCAGTTACGCAAAATAAGACGTTGGAAACTAAGTGGTAATCTGGTCACAAAGTTTACTAGAAAAAGAGCGGTGCCATAAGGTTTTGGTTGAACTCACACCCAGGAAGTGAGGCTACTCGTTTTGCGATGGCTTTTGAGAAAATACTGTTCTGGGCATTGGTATAATTTCCTCTTTATGACATTTTAGAGCCGAAAAATCGCGCACACGCCGGCATCTGGCCGAATATGCTCATGTGGAGGCTGAGTGCCCTTTTATCACTTTCGATGAACTCATGGATCGTATTGAGAATATAGTGTGTGACACTGTTGATCGACTACTTGCAGACCCTGTCGTCAAAGCGACTATGTATAGTATGAATCCAGTTAGTTTGCAAATTTTATGCTTTATGTGGAGTAGTTCTCATTAGGTTTATTTATTTCTGTAAGAATACATTTAGTTTTGCTAAAATGGTTAATGTTTTTATTGCTCATCAAAATGAAATCACATGGACATAATCTTAACCCTTTTATTTACTGCCTTTTTCTTTTTAATGGCAGGGTATGTTGCGAAATATCTCAGCATTATATACACATGGACATATTTAGGACTTCAAACAACCGCAACGTCCATTTCGCCGAATGACATATTCTGAAGCGATTGAATGGCTGGTAAAGCACGATATACCTAACGAACATGGCGAAAAATTCCGTCATGGTGATGACATCGCTGAAGCAGCAGAGAGGAAGATGACTGATACAATTGGCATGGTAAGAGTATCCGAATAGCGCTAGGAGTTTGCAAATGAACCTAGGTTTACGGACCATATCATTTATTTGCAGCCAATCTTGCTCAACAGATTTCCAGCTGCTCTCAAATCGTTCTATATGTCACGTTGCAAGGACGACAATGAGCTTACTGAGTCTGTAGATCTATTAGTTCCTGGTGAGAACTACGTGGTCTTTGTGAGGTTTTAAATCTCGTGCTAAGTTTTTGTCACATCTGCTCCTAAGCGGCAGGTTATTAGCCATTGCATAAAAGAGTACTAAGTTAGTGGCTTGGCATGTTTACTCTACTTTAGGTGTCGGTGAAATAGTCGGTGGATCAATGCGTATATGGCAAGAAGAGGAGCTTTGCGAAGCATTTGGCAGAGCTGGAATCGATCCTAAAAATTACTATTGGTCAGAGTTCCTTTCTTAACTTCAAACTTCTAGATGTCTAACTAATTCCGTAAAATCCTTTTTTTTTTTCGTCTTTTTATACCTAGCATTTTTCAGGTACGTGGATCAACGAAGGTATGGTGCTGTACCACATGGAGGTTATGGTTTAGGATTGGAACGGTTCATATGCTGGTTAGCCAATGTGCATCATATTCGGGATGTCTGTCTGTATCCTCGATTTATCGGACGATGTGCTCCTTGATGTGCAAAGCAGTTGAAGTGTGGATTATTTTCCTAGTTTTCACTCCATTCCCCTGTGAAATTGTGCTTCCATACACTTACCTTCGTTTGGTCGGTTTTTGTTACGTTTTGTTTAATAATAATTATGTAGTAAAGCGTATAAAGTGCAAAAATGTATAGACATACAATAGTGGAGAAAAAAAGTGTGACGCAAATCACAGGGTGGTACAGGAGGGAAGGTGCTAGTTTCTTGTCAACTATCAGGACGTTTACAAGAAGTAAAATCTGTACTCTCTATCACAGGTTCAATCTAGCTTGGAGCGGACCAGACTTTTCAGTGTCAGTAAGTTGCTGCTAGACATGTTCGAAGAGGCCTTTCTCGCATCGAGGTAAGGAATGCCTTGTACAGAAGAAAACATAATTCCTATATTCTTCTATATCTGTTTGTTTGTGTTTGAATGACTGAACTATGTCGAATCCAAATTTACAAAAAAAAAGTGGAGCAAAAACTTGCAACATTAAGGTCTTTACGTTGGCATGGCAACCGCGGACTACGGTGCGTTGGATTAGTTCTGTGGAATTCTAACGCTGCAGTGTTCCAAATATATTATACATAATCGTATTAACGACAAAGAACAGATAGAATAAATCCCAATGGTTTTCAGAAAACCGGGATTTTATAGTTTTAGAATGTGGCTTATATATGGACTACTCTTTGCCTAATAAGAATAGTCTGTATCTTATATTCCTATCCATTTCTGATCCTACACGTTCTCCCATGTGTGCGATTTGTCTGCTACCATTGTTTTACATTCAAATCTAATTGTACCTGCCAAAATAGGGAAAATGACATGCTACAGCAACCTTGCAATCGTTTCCACACAGTTCTCTCGGAGTATAACACGAATTTATTGGATCCTCTATGTCATTGTAACTGAAACTGGTGAACCATTCTTTTTCACCCACGAATTTCGTGCGGGTCCAAGCAGCTCCTTTCGTTTCATTTCCTTCTAGCTGTGTTGAAATTCTGAACGATGGTCAGATGTGGTTTTTAACAGGACGCAGAGATAGAAGATAAAGGGAGTTCCCACGTATTACCACCGGAAGAAATTCCCACGTATCACTACAGGAAGTTCCCAGATATCACCACTGGTTTCCCCTTTTTGTGTGTCTAAAAGTTTGCTTCCTTACGGTGACGATTCTGCAAGGAGAGAGCAACTCGTACGATTAGTCCACTCACTGACCACTCCAGGAAACCGAATCTTCACCTCTCACTAACACTTAATATGTTTTGAATCTGTTCTATGGGATGACACGTTAAGTGTTTAAGTAAGTAATACACATGAATTGAATGTAGGCCTAAAAGAACTGTCCAAATTTCAAACGAAACTACAAAAGTGGTAATTTTTACTCTAATCATAACTCATGCATGACATCTACAGAGGAGCAATTTTCTTTCCTTTTTCCTCGTACATCTTCGCTAGATCCTTGGGACATGTGTGCATGTACCCGGTTCCTTCAGCGCAAATCTCCTTCATGCGCAAATACGGATCGTAGTTCCTTAAACAAAACTATAACGATGTTGAGAAACTAGTGCCTTGGTCTAACATTCTCGCCACGATGCATAATTTCTGGTTTGTTGTGGACTGGATGGCCCCCAATTCTCAGCCTTTAGACTTGGTGGGGCTTTTTTGACAATAAACAATGACTTTTCGATGACTCGATGATAGAGCACCTTCAAGGGTAGCGAACGGATTGTAGAAGACATTTCGACCTATCGCAGTATAGGCATGAACAATAATAGTGCTGTTTACTACATGTTACTATGATCCACCATATGGACACATTACTATTACTGTCAGCATTTGGAAATGTTTTGCAACTTATGGGTCCCTATTTCAGTTCCGTTTATACCCGCACACTCTATACGAAAAGTACCATTCACTACGGTAGTTAGAACTGAAACAGTAGTCGATTAGCACTCAAACTACTGATTTGTGAACCCGTTCTGAAGACCGTTTTTTTTTAATATATTTTTAAGTACAGAATAGACTTTCCATGATCAACGATCAATACAACACCTGTGCCGTACAAGCTGCCAATTGATACCAAAAAGCGTTGGAGGATTGTTCTATTTGTTAAAATAAACTACCAGAAACGAAATGAGACATGCAGGTGTTTTGACCACTCCCGTAAAAGCATTAGAACATCTACAGATGTCACTCATCGTGAGGTTATCAATCACTTTCATATACCAATTTGACGTAGAGGTCGCACTAAACTACACTTGTCCCACAATCATCTTATTCTCAGGCAATTTCAAGTTTCACTTCGATAGGAAACATAAAAAAGTTGACACTACGTCATTTATTAACAAAAACACGAAAAAGAAAACAAAAGGCTACAGGAAGCCAATAAGTGGACGAAATAGTCCACTTGATATCATAGTGGTATGAACAATTTTGTATCATTCACCTACAGCATGAATTCCAGACTGGAATTATCACCGCTTTCTACCGTATACCCTTTATTCAAAATGCTCCCAGACTTCTGTGACTAATACTAATTAGGAGCAGCTTGATGTGAAGCATATGGTCACACGAGGACACACCTCGATTCTAATGCATAATGTTTGTTGTGATTTCCACGCTTCCGAAAAATATCTGCGCCTCTCAACTTTAAGGGAAATATCCCACTTCAAGTCTACAGATCTCTGCTAACACAATACAGCTTTCCTATTCTACATCGATAAAGTACAGTTTATAAGACATTTTTCATCGTGTCGCAATGAGGAATAAGAAAGAGTAACTAAAAATTGTGGTCAACAAAGTAATTATATTGTGTACTTTCGAAACGACCCAATTGGAAGTATCAAAATAATGAACTAATACCAGAAAAGACTTACGACGCTGTAGGGTCAGTTCTAGCATTTTAGTAATCCCAATTCGTTGGGAAAAAGGTAAGCGTGCTACAATAGTGAATGGCCCTAATTGCTTTTTAAAATCCAATCAATAAATTTGTAGAGACGAGATAATCGATTTGGAGGGGCACAACCACAAGACATGATCACAAACACAACATTGAATGTACCGGAAGGGCCAGACGTAGGTCGAAGAAAAGTTCTATCCCGCAATAAATATCCTGTACCCTCTCCATTATGAAGAGAAGTACTTCCTTAGAAACAATATAAAAGTATCGAGAAGAATTACACAAAACTTACTTAAAGAACTCTTCGTACTTCCTATAGCGAGGCCATACGTAAAACACATTGAACGACACAGTTGAAGACACGGCGACAATAAAGGCAAAAGCAAGACCCTTTCGGGCATAGGAATGGATCATCCCACGCATCAAAAAAGGATGTCCCATTCTGTAACATTAAAATCGGTAATTCCTTCATTGATAAGCTAACACACGAGATTGATCAGAATGGTTTCTATTCAGCTAGAGTTTCGACGCTTTCGTCTTCTTCAGACAGAATACGCGGGTTAGTCATTCCGAGGTTAACAGAAGGTCGGTTATTGACATATAAAGCAAGTTATTTAGGACAACCTCCCAACGGTTTGCCGCCTCATCGCGGCTGGGAGGCGTTCCTGAGTGTCGGGCTGAGGTGTACAGCGGAGTGGTTCGTCCTCTCAGCAGGGTCTCCCAAGCTGAGAACGAGTCCAGCACTTCCAACAGGAAGGCTAGCTAAGAATAAACCAATACCAAGATCCATCACCGTTCTGGTAACAAACTAGTCGGTGGCAAATCTCGCTCTGATCCACAAAGGTGGCAACTGTCTGTGATGGAAACGATTTAGGACAGCCTTTGGCTAGGCCGACCTTCGGATTCCACGGAACCACAATGGCTAAGCCATCAAAACTCCGAAGAAATGGAAATTATGTTAGGCCCACACAACCAGTGAAGATGAGCCATCCAAGTATCCAAGCAAGTTGTTTCGGACAAACAGCTGATGTCTGAGAGAACCATAAATCAGAATAAACGACAGGGGTAAAAATGGCAATGCAACGAGTTTGAATCGAGAGTACAGTCGTGAAAACGTCTCCGAAGAAAAACACTGTGAAATGAAACGCACATAGAATCTTCCAAACGAAGATGAGGTCGCTGTCCTCTGCGGTGAAAGCCGTTGGTGACTGATGAAAACGCTTCGCAAACGCGCCACATCGATTGGCTGTGGCGCACAGAAGAGCCGCCATAAACTTCGTGTGGATGGAAGCTCCTCATTTGCTCGGATCGAAAACTTTGATAACATGTGGGCATTTTTACAGAGTATCGAAAAGTAACACCAAACATATACGTAGATAGCAGGCAATAAGAGCTCTCTCTCTCTCTCTCTCGGCTTTGATTAATCCCTGAGGGTGCGCCGTGCATTCGACTTCATTAAGCATCGCTTGGAGGTGAATGGACGCATATCTGGCCTGTACGATGAATCGCAGTGGCCTACCGATGTATCGAGCCAGTGCTGCTATCCTCCCAGACAAAAGTGGTACCAATTTGCCGACCACGGAGGAATGGAAGGCTTGATGAGCCTGGAGACGGTTCGATCCCATGTTTATTGCAAGGCGCGCTACATGCTTCCAACAGTAGATAATAGAGCTACGAATTTGTAGCAAACATTAAAGAATCATAACCTATCACAGCAACAAACGGTGCAAAGTTATGTGCTCGTTGAAGTTACGAAACAATCTCTCATAGGCCTCAAAGTGACAAGCACTTCATTGCAATGTGATAGCTTTGGCGCGCGGATTATTGCTGGAGCACGGAATAGCTTGCGCCGCTATTTTACATCGTGCCATCAGTTCTACGTAGGTTGTTTGAAGTTTCACAATCTATAGACGCCTTTCTAAGGTATTACTTGACAATGAGTAGCTGCAGAACCAGTCAGGACTTGGAGAAGTTCTGATTATTTGAGATCTTTCATAGATATGTGACCTCCTAGTGTTTTATTTTCTAACGATTTACCTCCTATTTACTCAAATCGTTTTATTTCCGTCCTTAGCATTGAAATACCGGATATTAATTCAGGTACTAGTCAGAAATGGTTAAAAAACGAGATCAAGGCAAAAATCCGAAGCTGAAGCAAAAACCAGGTTATGGAGTGGTTAAGAACAGGCACACATTCAGAGGATCAAACCATAGTATGAACCCAGGTGAACTACGGTTTTTGAAATGCTGGTGGAAGTGTTTAGTGTTTTTTGCTTCTGTTTTGTGATGTTGTGATGGTTTTTTTTAAAACTATTAGTCCTATATATGGAGCTAAGGGCGCATGCGGCGCAGTCGTTGGAGGCGCCCTGCAACACACACGTGGAATCGATCCCCTCGCCCATGGCCCACCAAGCCTTCCATCCCTCCGGGGTTGGCAAATTAGCACCAGACTTGTCTGGAAGGATAGCAACACTGGTTCGCTGCATCGGTAGGCCACCGCTTGTCATTGTAAAGGGCAGATATGCATTTAACTATAACGACGCTTATTGAAGTCGAATGAACGCTTCATCCTTCAGAGATTGATCAACGCTGAGAGCTGTTTTCTAGCTTTATCTATGCAACTGAAATGTCGAGTAATTTGTGAAGTAACGGCGAATTTTACCCCAGCATATTCGCATCGGCGGTGTCAATGGTTTTAACGTTTTCTTGTCTTTGTAGGTTCAAAACTTATGAGTTCTGAGCTGTTTATATAGGAGCTTACTCCAGACATTTTAAGGGTTCAGTTATCCAAAAACATGGTTTCATTTATTCAAATGATATGAAGGTGAAGAACCAGGAGGACTGAAAGATGTGTTGCTTCGGTAGTCAAGAAGTACGACGCTCCAAATTCGCAGGCGTCCATCGTACCTCTTTGCTCTCGCTCCTTTTTAAAAATTGTTTAACTGTTCTCACGGGATGGTTGATTGTCTTCTTCATAACCAAAGCATATTCTTATTCCAGATCGACCAAAGGATGCCAAAAACACACATCTTCGTTCCAGGGCAACGATCAATAGATTGCGGATGTATAAGAGTTTCAAGCCAATACGGTGATTTTTCAAGCAGTCTTAGTTTTTCTACTGTACTACAGAGGGTAGCAGATAATAGCAGGAATTTGTTTACTGCATTATGCAATTATGCTTGTCGTCCGTGTACTTTTTAGAGACAAGGATGGGAAGATTCTCAAAGCGGCGCCTTTCCAAGGATGGTTAAAGTCTGGCACTGTTGCGCGAGTAGAACCTAACAGGAAATGGTTTGGTAAGCTTACTACTTATTACGTTTTTCATTCATTATAGATAGATTCTGCAATTGGAATATTTTTGCTTAGGTAACACTAGAATAGTGGGACAGGAACAATTGCAGAAATTCCAGGAAAACTTAGGAAAAGTCTTGCAAGATCCTTTCCAAGTAAATGCTATTGAATTTTCGAATGTTGCTGCTTCCTCCGATTTCCTAATTGTTGATGGAAATTTGGATTGCAGGTTGTAATGAAACAAACCAAGCTTCCAATCAGTTTGCTACAAGAAAAGGCCAAGGTAATCCAAACTTTCAGTTATTTTTCAAATATCTCTATTGGGAGCTAATTAAACTGTTGGAATTTTTATTTGCAGCAACAACGGGTTCACATCACTGATACCGAATCTTTCGAGTACACATTTGGAAAGAAGGCTTTAAGAAAGAAGCCCCGATTGTCGTGTGAGACACTTAAAGTGCGGACTTTCCTTTGATTAGTCTGAAAGTCCTTCAGTCGATAAATACTTTCTTTTAGGAAATGGTCACTTCTGTCGAGAAACGTGAGGAAATATATGACTCAGCAAAAGATCGAGATCTGCATGTGGATAACTGCGACCTAATTCGTGAGGAGAATCCGAATCCCTTGTTTCGTGCGGGTCAAAGTAACCGCGTTTGGGGAGAACTCTATAAGGTGATCTTAGTTCATTTAGTCTAATAGCGCTTCTGCGTAACGTATTTTGATCCTACGCGCCTTCCAAAACTTTTTCATTGTATCCTACTTGTACTTGTAGGTTTTGGATTCATCAGATGTCGTCGTACAAGTGATAGACGCACGAGACCCTCTCGGAACACGTTGTAGACATGTCGAAGCGTTTCTGCGGAAGGAAAAGCCCCATAAGCACTTGGTCACGGTTATAAATAAGGTGGATCTGGTTCCCACCTGGGTAACGGTGAGTCATACAGTGTCTGCTGCAATGAATTTGTATGCTTTGGCGAGAGGGAACTGATTCCTGTTTTAGCGTAAATGGATTGGAGAGCTTTCAAAAGAGATGCCAACAATAGCTTTCCATGCATCAATCCAACACTCGTTTGGCAAGGGATCTCTAATAAACTTACTTCGTCAATTTGCAAAACTCCACACTGATAGGCAACAGGTGATATGATCATAATTGCGGTTTTCAGCTAGTATAACAGCTTCTCCTCCTTATTGTCACGAAGAAATTATCCGTTATGTATTCACTGAACTACGAAGTACACGAAAGCGTTCCGTTATGGACGCAGTGCTTTTACTCCATTAACTATCGTGGGAGTAGACGAGCATATCCTTGCCCTGTACATTAGCTTGGGAGGGGGGGGGGGGGGGGGGGGGGGGGGGGGGGCTATCGATGTATCAGTTCAGTGCTTTTATCCTCCCAGACTGGTCTGGTACTATATCGGATGGATGTAGGTCTTGGTGAGCTGGGACGCGTGACCCAGCAAACGACCACGTGTCTATCGTAGAGCGCCATAAGCACTGCGTTAGACCCACCTTACGAAATCCTGTACCCGAAAATATTTGTTTGTCAACATAACATATTCATCCTAATATTACCGTGTTCTGTGATCCAACAATTCAAATTCATACACTTATGTTTACTTTCCATAACAGAGTAAAACTCAGTAATTGGGTTCCGACTTCACATAACTATCGAAAAGTTCAGTTACAGTAGGCACTAAAACAGCTTGCGAGAAACTAGTCTTATAATGACGACAATCGTCGAAGTTCTCTTCTTGCTTCATTTCTGTTTTTCTTTGTCTTCTTCTTTGCGGGACATAACTCCTGTTCTGAAACTCCTTGTACTCTACCTCCAGTCGTTGCTGCTCTGTCCTAGATCTCTAAAATAGAAAAAAAATTAGATTTGCCCAAGGAACCAGCTGTGAGACTACCAACTTCGCACACTTCTTGGGCACGTCTCATTGTGTCCTCGAGATCTTCCCTTCTTTCATTATCATCTTGTTCCACTTTTCCAAGGAGTGTTTTTGTTGATTGTATAATAGACGAATACTTCTCAATCCTCCGAGCAAGCAGAGCACGTCTATTCATGATACGATGATATTCTGCTGAAATCTAAGTGCTTTTCCCAGGTCAAATTTGAGACCTCTAAACTAAAGAAGCATTTGCAAATCAATAAAAAACTTGCTTACTTGCCCCAAGTTCCGCTATATCGTATTTTCTTCTTTTTCTTCCAAACAAGTGGTCGATATTTCTCCTCGACTCGCTGTCCAATCGTGCCCATCTATCGACTGGGCATCGTAAATTTAGACAGTTCGTATTACTGGAAAATTCGGTGTAGCAATGAAGTAAGCCATCCTTCGAGATCAAAATATACATGCCTCTGAACAATACGGAAAAGTGCTTTAAATCCCAATTGTATGTTCTCATCGCAAGTTTCGACAACCTATAAATCAAACATTTACAAACCCTGGACTTGAGGCTTTTCAACTGAACTATACTTTTGAAACGATTGATGCTTTCGGCTTCTTATTGTAGACGAAATCGTCGAAAGCATCAAGGAGTGTGTGTAGTTGACCGGAGGGCATATTTTCTTTTAGGAAGAGTGAAAAAGCAGCTTGATGATAGATGCCTCGCAATTTGGCCGCATAGTTCGAAATCAGAAGACGAGTCTCGCAGGAAATGTAATTTACATTTTGAGAAATGTAGATCAAGGCGTCAACGGATCTGCAAATTACCTTCCGATTCGATTCACTTGATCATTTCAAGGTGTGAATGGATCATGTGAGTATATATAAAACAATAAAAGACTCTGAGAAATATTTGTGGTCTTAATGGAATGGTGCCTCACAACGGTTTACCGTCTCATCGTAGCTGGGAGGTGTTCCTAGGTGTCAAACTATGACTTACGGTGGAAGGATTCATCCCCTCGGCAGGGTCTCCCAAGCTGAGGAGTCTGGCGTTTCCATCAGGAAGTCCAGCTAGGAGTAAGCCAATACCAGGATTTACCACCGTCCTGGTATCAAACTAGTCGTATAGTGGTCAATCTTCCTCTGATCCACAAGGGCAGCGAGTGCCTGTGGTGGTGACGACCTGGTGCAGACTGGCCAGGCCGAGCTCGAGGCACCAGTTAAACAATGGCTAAACTAAGGAAAGCTCGAAAAATGGAGAATATGCTGGGACCCGCATAACCAGTGAGGGCGGGCCGACTAGGTATCCAATTAAATGAAGAAATTGTGCATAAACTTATGTACTCAAGAGTTGACGATGGCAGAGCTTCCTCGTGTACCACTGTACTGGTTTCTTTGCTTCTTGGTGACATCCAATTGTCATTCTTGTTCGACCTAACGCTGAGCTTAGGATAGCATAGCTGTGGTACAAAAACGTTTCTTTCTATCTGTAGACATACATGACGCTACTTTGGATACGCTGGTTGACTGGTTCAGCTAACATGGCGTCCTTTTGGAGTACATCTTCATCCCATGTTTTCAATAGTTCTGTTGTTAGAATATCTGAAACATCTTCGCTGTAATTTCGTCTTCGGATGGTGAAGTTATCATCCACATTTACACATTTAACCGGAGGTGCTCAAAGAGATTTTCAGATACTGTCCCGTTTTTAAGATGGATTTATCCTACAATATTTTACTGATGTTTGCTGTTTTTATTAAATATCTCATGTTCAAACCATAAAAAAACAAACCCTCAACATCATCAACAGCGACGCTGTAAATCTGGGCACCTATTTGGGGCCTTTGCTTTGTTTGTATTACAGAGTCTATCTCGGGGATGCAAACTTGGATCAAATTTCGAGGTCGGGTGGTTGACGTTGGCAGGGGGTCTGATTTCTTCATCTGAATACAGAAAAGATTGATAGGACGTACAAACAGTTTCTTATTCGTTATAATACTTAAACAATAGTTAATTATTCACGTAAACATCGAAGATAGCGATAAATCATAACTGTAAATAAAAGCGTTTTCAAACAAACAGTTCGCGCCATCGTCACTTCTTAGGCTTACCTTCTTCGTTCTGGCTTTTCTTGAACGGCGAACCTTTTTTCCAGGTTGTGATAGTTCTTGATTTTCATTACCTGCTTGGGCAGTAGATACACTTCAATGTAAGCAGTATTAAATGATTGCAGCATGTACAAGTAATGTGCTTTTCATGAAATCTTACAAACCTCTCATTCTTGGCCATCGGAATAAGGGAAGAAGGTTTGTTCGGCAATTCTAGATTTGAAGACGACGAATCGTCAATATTAGCTCTTTCCATGAATTTCATCAACTTGAAAAATCTCCATCGTTTCACCCGTTCTGGATCATTTTCGAACGTTTTCATCATCCTCCAATAGTTATCTTTGAGATTCTTCCATGTCTTCTTCATATCTTCGGCTGCAATGATCCGGAATTCCTTGAAGGGATTTGCAAATACTAGCGAAATTTTCTTACTATCAATAGTGACTCCGAATTGTTCGTTGAGCTCGTCGGCTACTTCTGCCCATAGTTTCGCCCTCAACTCCGCGTCGTGGCTCACACATGGGAATTTCTTCCATAATTTCTCCCGTTTTTCGACACTTACAGCTAGTGCTTCGCGCAGTGGAACGGTCCAGTAATACCGCACTTTCATTGACATTTTCTAAAATTGTGATGATCCAACGGATTTCGCGAAAGAAATTTGTGTTTGACTAGCAAGTGATTCACTGAGAACTATGGGACGTGGAGAAATTTGTGTGATTAGAATACGACGCGAAGGCACGTGGCTCAGATTTGAACGGTTGTGGGTGGGCGCGATTACGCGCGTACGGCAGCGATCGATTGGTAGCGCGTGCGTGCAGACAGGAGCACCCTTCGATAGTGATGGTGTGTGTGCAGTGTTGTTTTCTCCGATCAACACCTTTGGAACTAGTGTGTCACCCTGGACGACCAGCAAACTGGTTAACGTGAACTTGGAAGAGCAATTCAGCATCAGGGTATGTGTAGATAATGCACAAAATCTAGGGTTTCTGTGAGATAGAACGGGAACGATGGGGAGATTTTTTTTCTCACAAAAGAAGGGACATGCTTTGCAATGGATTAGTAAGAGCAAAGAAAAAAGTGTATGGTACAGTTCGGAGGAGTTTAATTTGTTTATTGGAATAAGTAAAGTAGTTATAAAAAGGATAAAGCTCTCCGCTTTGATCAATCCCTGAGTGTGCGCCATGCATTCGAATTCATTAAGCATCGTTTGGAGGTGAATGAATGCGTATCTGGCTTTTACAATGACTCATGACTCGCGGTGGTCTACCGATGTATCGAGCCAGTGCTGCTATCCTCCTAGACAAGTTTGGTACCAATTTGCCGACCCCGGAGGGATGGAGGGCGTGGTGGGCCATGGGCGCAGAGATAGATTCAACGTGTGTGTTGCAGGGCGCCTCCGACCACTGCGCCACAAGCGCCCTAGTAAATATTTTATAAATTTTATAGAAGTCATAAAAATAATTTAACTGGTTGGCCATAAGCTATCGGCTAACACTTGAGCCTATTCCTATTGTATATTGTTGTGTTACTCTACTGGGATATTTTGTTGTGTTAATTTATAGGATACTTATGTGACCTAACCTCACATGCCGTCCGTATTCTTGCACTTCGACCACCATCCATAGAGGGTGGTGCTTTTGCGTTGAATTCGGTATCCCTAATGTTCTTCTTTCTCTTTTTCTCCTTGTTGACACATACCTCTCGGTTTGTGCGTCATTTTCGTGGAATCCCGTGATAGTTCTGTTTGAGCACTTCCCTCCTCTTCACCGTAGCCGCTCGCTATTCTTTGTTGACTGGACGGACGATTACTGCCTTGTAATTAGCATTGTCTGCATTAGCCATTCCTAACATGTTGGCGATTCGGTATGTGTCAGAAAGTAATATATCACGTGGTGTTACTCAATAAATTTCTAAAATCTTGTGAGTTTGGAGTTTTCTAATCACCTACGTTCAAGCCGAAGTCCCATGTTTCACATTTTGAGCCACAGTTCAGTGAATTGCCAGCTACCAGATTAGCTTATGCCGACGCTTATTACATAACGTTCCCATGTTACACTATTAGAAAACGAGCGAAATCGAATTCTAGAAGGAAAGTAGATTCATTTAATCTCACCATTCGCGAATTAACCCGGATATGTTTCCATCACTGGAGGTGATGCTTCCTTTATGGGACATCGAGTACCGGTATTGCCATCAATCTGCACACTTTTGCAGTGACGTACCCAGCTGGTTTTGAAATTATGTTGTCGCAGAGCCCCACACTAGAGAAAACATTCTCCATAAATATTGAATATCCTCTGTCTATTTAAGAACTTATCTCACATTGCTTAGTCATCTTCTAAGGGCAACGTTCTCTGTAAAACTTTCCAATGATGATCAAAAACTTTCTCTGAGAGTTTCTCATACGCCTCCTATCTGATGTAAGCCTTTGCGGCTACTGTAGCATGCTTTGAATTAGCTTTATTAGACTACACTACCCGAAAAATTCTTGCCACCTCTTCAGGATCGTCTTGGCCTGTATCACCTGTAGTCCTGTTGATCGTCGAGTGACTCGAGCGGGCACTAGTAAATCTTCCATTTTTCCCTGTCGCGTGCACTAGTAGCCCAATGGGTTCTACTTGCTCTGGGGGCTCGTCGAGCATCATATCCTTCTTCAAGGCTCTTTGTGAAGAACTGTGACCATCGGGCCGGTGGTCTTCCTGCGGTACGTTTGACATCCCGAGGAATCTAGTCACCAAAGGCTGTTCTCCATCCGTTGTCATTCATATGCATTACGTGTCCGGCCCACCTTATCTTCGACTGTTTGACGTACAGAACGGCATATTTGATTCTTGATCGTTCACGCAGGCCGGAGCTCCGGATCTCTTCTTTCATTTGTGTGATACGAGATACTCCTAGCATCGTCCTTTCGACTTCGCGTTCGATAACGCTGAGTGACTTTTCATCTTTACGCATCGGCCAAGTTTCTAACGCATACGTTAGAGCAAGAAGTACCGTTGAGTCGAAAAGGTGGGCACGGAATCGGGTGTTCTTTGTTCTCTTCACTACATCCTCCATGCTCTTAAAAGCTCCCCAAGCTGCTCGTTTCCTTCTGCTCAGCTCTGGAGCTAGGCCGCTCATCATATTGATTTCCTGACCTAAATAGATATAACTGGAGCATTCGGAGATATTTGTTCCGTTGAGCGTGAATAGGGCATGAGAAACCAATCCCGTTTTTCATCAACATCGTTTCTTTGAGATTTAGTCGAAGACCAGTCTTTCCACAACGATGTCATCAGCAAAGCGAGGATGATATAACAGTCAACCATCGATTTTCTTTCCCACATTATCCCATTGCAATGTTCTCATGACGTTCTAGAGGGTGGCGGTAAATAATTTTGGCGAGATGGTATCGCCTTGTCTAACTCCTCTTTTGACATCAATGTTAATATCGCTGTAGAATGGTGATATCTTGGTTGTGAAATTTTTGTGCAACTCACGAAGGATCTTTATGTACTGAGTAGGGACCCCTTGACTATCAAAGCTTACAAGATTGCTTGTATCTCAACTGAATGAAAGGCCTTTTGTAAACCGATGAAAGTGAGACAGAGCGCTCTTTTGTACTCTCGCAATATTTCTATGAGCCGTGTTACCGTGTGGATACTGTCCACCGTACTAAATCCCATTCGAAACCGTGCTTGCTTTTACAAGGCTGTCCTTCGTCCAGTGTTCCGTCAATCCTGTTTAGAACGACTCGAGTGAAAAGCTTGTAGACGACAGATAGTAAGCAGATTGGATGATAGTTTCCGATATCATGGAGGCACCCTTCTTGAACATTAACACGGTCTTGCTGGTTTTCCACTGGGTAGGGACCTTGTATTCAGATAGGTAATGTGTGAAGAGCCGAGCCATTGTGTTTACGAGGACTGGTGGAAGATTTTTAAGGTGTTCAGATCTAATGCTCTCCGGATCTGGTGCTGTTCGATATTTCACCGACAAATGGCATGTCGGATTTCGGAACGGAAAGGAGAACCGGTGGTAAAACATATCCATCCTCCTTTATTTCATATGTTGGAAGGTGGACGTAGCTATCGAAGAGATCCGAGTAGTATTCGTGAATGATTTTCTTCATTGTCTTTCTGGATGCTGTAACTATTTCGTGTGGGCGCCGGAGTGCAATCGTCTCGGTCTTGTAATTGACGAAGCTTCGGCAGGCTCTGAGAATGCTTTTCCCAGACTCTGCAGCTTCGATCATTACTGATGCTCTTTTCTCTCTAAGATGTTCTTTTATCGCCTGTCTGCACTGTTTTCAAGTTTGGACGACAGTTCGCGGTTGCCTACAGCTCGTGCGATTCCACGGTGGCGTATCAGCTCGAGTGTTTCTGGAGACAAACGTCTCTTGCTGATTTTCGAACTCTCAGCTTTCATAGCGCTAGCTTGAAGATGTTGAATGAGCCGATTGTATTCTTCGTCGATGTTATCGACAACGGCATCTTCCCAACAGCTGACTAATGTATTGAATAAGTCCCAGTTTACGGTGGTTCAGGGACTTCGGTTTTGAAATTTAGCGGCTTTTTCCCCTTTCCGCGAGAAATAGAATCTTGTACGAAGGAGACGATGGTCTGATCCCGCGTAGAATTTTGGGACAACAGAGACATCGGTTAGGCAAAACCTTCTATTTACTATAATGTAGTCTATTTCGTTATGGTACTCTCCATTGGGAGACTCTCACGTCCATCGCTGAGGGTGGGGCTTCTAGAGTTGCGAGTTACCATGGATTGTCTTGGTCGCCATGACAAACTCAGTCAGCCGCTCACCCTGTTCGTTCCATTCTAATCCGTGGGTCCCATTGTGTCGTTCTTCAGACGTTCTTCTTGGTCCAATCTTGGCGTTCAAATCTCCAATGATGACCTTGAAAAATGTGTGGTCTTCTCTGTAGAACTTCCCCAAGTCTATGTGGAACGCTTCTACTTTTTCGTCATAGTTTGATGTCAGCACCTAAACGACGAAAATTAACAAAGCCAGTATTGATCCACATCTTTTTAATCGTAAACGTTCGATTCGGGTTGTAAGCTGTTCGAATGAATCGATGTTCATGGACAAACTCCTGTTGACGAGAACGCCGACGCCGCCGACTCCCCTACTGTCGCATGTTCGGAGGAACAGTTCTTCTCCGGTGTCATAAAACGGCGTTGAAAGACTGGCGTCTTCTTGTCTCGGCCATGCCGATGACGTCGTACTTTATCCTTCTTGCTTGCATGAGCAAGTCTTCTATCGAGGAGTCGGAGGCATCTGTTCGTACATTGTAAGTACATATGGTCACCATAGTTCTTTGTAATCCAGGCAGCTTCCATTGGCTCTGAGAGTTTAGCAGCTTCTACGCACTCGTCCTACCCAACGTTGCGAAATTTGGGGCTCTTTCGAGGTCAGGGGAATGAGGCCTGTTTTTTTTACTGTTTAGGATTTTGATACCCACGTATAGCTTGCTGGGATCCGAACGTGAGGGCTGGGTATACTCACGGGTAGCTTGCCAGGCTTTCCCAGAGTGGACATGGAACTTATTTGTTGGAGGCGATTCCTAACCACCTCCCATATACTTCCCAGTCACTTGATTGCAGGCTTTAGGCTAAATTGACTCGTAGAATACAATCTGCATTAGCAAGAACGCAACCGCGCACGCATATATGAATGCGCCAAATCGGCGCTGTAGATACAAGGAGTCCATCCTCTGGTTCAACCTGAGTCCCAGGGCAACGTATGCATAGGGGAGATCCGTGAGCCACAGTCGCGGCCGTTTGAAGTGAGTGGAATTGCCTCTTGACCTATTGTAGCTAAACTCCGTCCATTAACGGAACGAATATAAGCAGCTTCTTCAGTTAACTGTGACATGTCCTCTCCAAGGTTTTCTCCACTGCTGAGAAGAGCCTCTCCACAGTTGTTTCCACAGTTGTCTCTACGAGTGCTCGCTACCAATGTCCTCACAGTCTTCTTCTTGTTACTGGCTCTTGTATTTTTCGGCCTTCTGTGTATCGTCACACCGTTAATATTGTACTGCTATAATTTCATTTACAAACGGTTAAAACGCAAGCTTGAAATTCTGTTCTGTGACTTCACACGGAAGTCCCACGTGGCATATTCACTCACTATATACCCTGATATCCTTTAAATAATAAAAGATAAAGCTTTCGTCGTCGACCAATTCCTAAGGGAAGCGCCATGCATTCGATTTCATTAAGCATCGTCAAACGTGATTGAATGCATATCTGGCCTTTACAATGATTCGCGTTGGCCTACCGATGTATTATCGAGCCAGCGCTGCTATCCTCCCAGAGAAGAGTGGTACCAGTTCGCCGACTCCGGAGTGATAGAGGGGGAACTGGGATCAATCCCATATATATTGAAAGGCGCCTCCGACCATTGCGCTACGAGCGGTATCCTTTATAGCCCTTTATTATGAGAATATGTGCTTTTCAAAATCTTCAGTATTAAAGTGCGTCGCGATTAAAGCATTGTTTCGTTTCTTCGAGAGGACGGTTCAAGCTGTTTGCAACGTTCTTTCGTAGCTGTCTCAGTTACTCTTCTTAATGATGCCAACTTTAAGGCCCAGAATTATATATATATATATATGTATATATATATATAAATTTCCCTTCGGCTAGGTCACGCCACTTCCCTCTTAGTGATTGTGATGAACTTCGGAGGTATTTTGCAATTAGAAAACACGTTTTAATAGGCGTTCTTCAGCATTCTGTTACCCATACTCGCTTATCGTCGCATGATTCGTCTAGAAGCCATGCACTTTTTTTCAGTAAAATGCTCAAGAATTGTTGTTAATTTAGGGAGAGATTGTTCACTATAACGGCTTTCTTAAAGATAGTGATTCGCAATGGCCTTAGTTTACAATACATACGTAGTAACTGCTTCGATCCCGCGGCCCAAGTCCACCTGGCCTTCTATCCTTGCCCCAGGCCCGCCTGGCTTTCTATCCTTCCAGAGTCGGTAAATATGTGCCATTGGTAGGCCACCGGAATTCACTGTATAAGACAGATATGCACTCAATCACCTCTAACGATGCTTGGTTAAATCTAATGCATGACCCATCCCTCAGGGATCGATCAATACCGAGAGCTTTATCCTTTACTCGTTTAATCCTGTTGGTTTAATTTCATTTCTAATAACTTTTACTTTTTCGGAACATATATTCTTCCCGTCACGTCTCATGGCTTATGAAAGTCTCACATTTCGTGATGATCCACTCTTTATACCTTTGTAAGGTGTCCATCTATTGATTCGTTCATCACTGTTGAAGATACCAAACATGAAGTGAAAAACTTTTACAGACAAACTGTAGTACTTTCTCGCAATGTCTGATATTCAGCAGGAAGAAATATCGTGTGCTTGTTGCTAATTGTCCTCTCATGTTCGTAATAGTAACCAATAGTTCCCAGGATCGACTTTCTATTAACCTCGGCATTGGAATAGGAATGTGTCGTTTTCTTGTTCAGCAATCGCGAGGTTTTTAAACAGCATACATTTACTTCCATAAAAACACAATACAATACAACACTAGCTGACGTTTCGGTAGTATCGCCTTTTTGGTGCATATGGTCGTGGTGCATATGGTCGTCAACCATATGCGACTATAATCAGCTGTTCTAAACTTCCTCATTGGAAGTCACGAAAAAGCACTTCTGAAGAAGGCGATACTGCCGAAACGTCAGCTAGTGTTGTATTGTATTGTTTTTCTATGGAAGTAAATGTATGCTGTTTAAAAACCTCGCGATTGCTGAACAAGAAAACGACACATCCACAGTAACCAATATAAAAATATACAGTGTTGATGCATTGTTTAGCTACATGCTGACATTTCTGCGTTGGAAAACGTTCTCATTGCTTTAGCGACTTTCAGATTAGTGTCGGCTTCATCGGATACCCAAACGTTGGGAAATCGTCTATCATCAACACACTGAGGAAGAAGAAAGTTTGTAAAACTGCGCCAATAGCAGGGGAAACAAAGGTTAGCTCCTAAGAATTTTTCCAGGAAAATAATCTTGTTCGTTTTTCGCACTGTGTTTGATTGTTTCCAAAGTTTTGTCATGGCAAACGTAGCGCAGCAGCATAAGTCCACCAGGCATTTATATCTACTTGTTTAATGACGATACTTGTATGGGTCGTGCGGGCCGTAGCATAATTTTCATTTCTTCGGAGTTTTGCTGGTTTAGCCATTGTGGTTTCCTGGAACCCCAACGACAACCTGGCCAAAGCCTGCCCTAGGTCGTCAACACCCCAGGTAGTCGACACCCTTGTGGATCTGAGGGAGATTTGCCACTATGCAATTAGTTAAGAGTAAGCCATTACCAGGACGGTGATAGATCTTGGTATTGGTTTTCTCTTAATTGGGCTTCCTAATCGAAACGGCTTTTTCCCAGCTTTGGAGCTCTGCTGTGGGGATGAATCCACTCGCTGTACGTCGGAGTCCGACTACCAGGAACACCTCCCAGCCACGATGGGGCCTTAAACTGTTGGAAGATTTGCTGACGATATGCTTAAATTTTCGAGATGTTGCATTTTTAGGTATGGCAGTACGTCATGCTTATGCGTCGAATCTACATGATAGATTGCCCCGGTGTTGTATATCCACAGGGTGATTCCGAGACACAGATCATCCTTAAGGGAGTTGTAAGTTGAACTACTGCTTCGATTTCGCCACAAATTTCAGTGCTGAATCCTTAAGGGCAGAATGGGGTTTTGATTAGACGTTTATGTGAAGAACGTTTTAACACATTTACCCCTACCGCACCCAGTTTCTTCGCCACATGTGCCCAATCGTTTCCCGTATTTTCTGACCTTTAATTCCTTTTTCCTTTGTATTTTCTTAGTATTTCATATGTTTTCCAATTTATTCATATCATCTACCTTCTTCTATGTTTTCTGCCACACTTTTGGAATTCGTCTCTCGTTTGTGATTTAAGCATTGGTGAGAGATAGCCGGCAGTACATACATAGTGGTTAGTTCGATACGTCACCCTGAGCTCACCAAGCTCTCCATCCTTTTGGGGTCGGACAGTTGGTACCAAGGGGAGTTATAAGGGAGCATACTTACTTGATACATGAATGGCCCGTCCTCACTGGTTGTGCGGGTCCTAGCATAATCTCCATTTTTCGGAGATTTGCTGGTTAAGCCATTATGATTCCCTGGAGTCCCGAGGTCATCGTGGCCAAAGTCTGCTCCAGGTCTTCACCACCATGGGCAGTCGCAGCCCTTGTGGATAAGAGGGAGATTTACCACCATGCGACTTTGATACCAGAACGGTGACGGGTCCTGGTGTTGGTTTACTCTTAGCTAGGCTTCCTGGTGGAAACACAGGACTCGTTCTCAGCTTGGGAAACACTGCCAAGTGATGAACCCCCCGCCGTACATCGTAGTCCGACACCCAGAACATCTCCCAGGCACGATGAGGCGGTAAACGGTTGGGAGGATCAGGGAAGATAGCAGCACTGAATTCATAAAATCAGTTAATGGGCAAAAATTGAACTATTTAGGATTGAACAATGCTAAGGAAGTTTTTTTGAGAACCTTCGTCGCTTAACAGACAATAGGGCGCCTGTAGCGCAGTGGTCGGAGGTGCCTTACAGTACGCATCTAGGATCGATCCCCGCGCCCATGGCGGAGCCTTCCATCCCTCCGGAGCCGGCAGATTGGTGCCAGACTTATCTGGGAGGATAGCAGCACTGGCTCAATGCATCAGTAGGTCACTGTGAGTCACTATAAAGGCCAGATATATATTCAATCACTTCCAACGATGCTTAGTGAAGCCGAATACATGATTCATCCATCCTGGATTGATAACGCCGAGAACTTCATCCTTTATGGTGAATCATGGTTGTTTCATGGAATCTATGAGTATAGCAACTGCCGAAATAGACTCGACGTAAGCTGGAAAATATTTCCAAATGCAGACAGCAATATATTTGCAATGTGGACCGTCATATTACAGAGTAATATCGTTGGAAATAGTAGTACGCTAAAGCAAAGTCTTTTATGCAATTCTGTAATGTTGAAGACCCCTTAGTCGTCTACTTATTGGGAAAAGTTTTTATTTTATTTTCAACAAACCATAGAGTCCGCAGCCAACGAAAAATTGCGCGTAGGCCGTTGGACCAGCCACGAAATGCCGTAACAAGAACGGAATGAGTTAACCACTAGTCATTGCCCTCATCACCATCATCACCCAGTATTCATTCTCCGACTCACATTATTGAGAATTTTTATCAAGGAGCACAGGAGGTTTCCTCATCATATAGAGATTTTTCCTCACTCTGGATGAGCATTCGATCGAGAATGAAATCCAATTTCGCCGACATGGTTCAAGCCTATGAAGTTTACATTTTTGTATGCAGTTGGGTTTAGTTTGTTTTTAATGGAAGTCACAAGTCAGAATAGTTGAACCGAATGGGAATATTGAAAAAGCAATTAATATGTATTATTATTTTCATAATTATTACTGCATGAACTGTCATCAATTCTGCTTTGCGCATCCCAGTAGTTCTCGCATTTGGTTTCTTTTATTGGAATGCATCGTCCACAAAGTTCGTCTGGCATTTCGCATGTTTCGGCTGGTGCTTGAGGATTTTTCTTTACGAATGTTGTGGAATGTTAGTCAAGTGGGTAATCCTTTCAATCTTCAAGACTGCTGAACTAAGATGCTTCCACGTGGTTTGATGGACAGCGTTGATGAGGGAATCGAACCAGGACCTTGCTGCCTGATGAACTGCATCGTTAACCATTCGGCTATCTCACTCCCATATATTAATACATGACCCGTTATCTAACCTGCTGTACGGATTCCAACACTTCTTTAAAGAGTACAAAAATATTTGTTGTTACTCGGTAAAAAGACAAATGGTGGTGTATAAAAAAGCAGTAAAATAACTAGTGTATACAATCAGTTGGATATAAAAAGCGATTAGTAATTAGTACATGTTATGCAGAACAACGGACCATAAGAGTACCATATATGATTCAGAGAGTGCGATGCGAAAAATTACCCATGCTTTCTCGGGGGTACCACGAGCGTAGGCGTGGTCACGAATCTCTGAACAGAGACATGACGGCGCGTAATGAAGAGAATAGACAGCGCCGACATCCTCATCCTTTGTCATTTATCACTCCGAATGTCATGGACGTTTTGTCGTCGTCAGCTTTCTTATCGATTTTCAAACCCGTTAAGATTACAGTGCGTGCCCAAATCTAGCTTTTAGTCACATACAATTCGATAAAAAACTTGTCACATCATTTATACTTTTGCGAAATGACAACGAATGTCGAAGAGTTTTGTTTTAAATACCCGTTGTAGCCAGGTTTGTAGTACCCTATTCTGACGTGTTTTGATTCAGAAGGTTTTACTTCTTTCAATTTAACACAGTTCGATGGAGCTATTATCCTTCGCTAATATCTGAACAAGATGTATTTTCACCGAATTATATAGAAATGGCATGCTCTAGGATGCAGCTATCACTTTACACAGAATACAATGGCAGGATTTGGTATCTTTCATCGCTGCACTGCATCGTTTTAACTGTCAAAATTGTTTTTGGATCATTTAAAGACCGTACACTAGAGGCAATCATTTAGAAGAGTCGCAATTGTTGGGCTAACAAGCCGTTTATGCAGCTCTATAGTGATATCCTCCTACACTGCAGGGTAGTTCAATAAGCCAAAGTAGAGTGTGACGAATTTCGAATGACCTCACTAGATCTGAACCTCATTGTTCCATATAGGTTTAAATAAATATTTGTATGAAGACTCGCGTGCCAATGAAAAAGGCAAAAGTTATAAGTGCTACAAGGGATATTTTCAGGTACGTGTTGAAAATGTCAAAGATCCAGAGAATCATGTGCAAAGTGTGCTTGACTGCGTGAAAGCCGAGTATTTGAAGAAACATTATGGAATTGAGGAGTGGAAAGATGTAGAAGACTTCATGACAAAAATCGCTACAAAACAGGGTCGCCTTCTCAAGGTTGATTAGAGAAAAGTCATATTTTATTTTTATTTTTTCATTGCCGTATTTGTCCAGTGCTTTTATTAAAATAACAACTTTTCAGGGCGGTGAGCCGGATATCACCGCGATTGCGAAGTGCATCCTAAATGACTTCCAACGTGGTAAACTACCGTATTTTGTTGTTCCACCTGGCTGTGAAGAAACCGCTAATAAGGAGCATGATCAGGTTGGCTCTTCATCCTTTTTATAAAAACTTTACGCCGCTTCCTAATTTCCTATAACCCTATAATCCGCTGGCCGAACTTTCTCATCGGATTTTAACACCTATAGCATAGTACGAGTCATATACAAGTGATACGCGCTCAAAATTACTTGCGCTTTCAAACATTAAACGAAAATGGCCAAGTTTCTACTCAGGTACTTAGATTAATCGTTTCCACAAGTCATGTAGTTCCCAGAACTTTTATTGGTTTCATTTTTCACAACTATCATCCATGGAGGTGGTCGTACGAGAGTGTACTTTTGCTCCGGTTTGAGGATTTGAAAGTTGATTCCAGGTGTCAGTATAATGCTTTACAGCTGTAGCATACACACCGACCCATCTCAGTGGTCTAGGTCGCGGTCGTTACGATTCTGTAGAGATCCACTGTGCCACATTTTCGTCCACTTTTATTTCATGAGCGCTCCGTCAACGTTTATTTCTTGAGACATATTCTCTTGCATCTCGAAGGCGGGTTAGTCTTCGAATGTATGGGCTGCGAAAATCACCCTAGTGTTGAACGTGCTGGAGCATCTTCAGAAGACGTCGCTCGAGCGCTTTGTGTATAGTGCGCAGCTTCGTTATGCCTCAAGTTTCAGCCTACGTTTCTGTTGCTTTCTCAAAACTTCTGCATTAAGGAGATGGTAGTATAGGTTGGAATTAGTAAGCTAACCAGCGGCCTCGACTAGAGGCCGTAGAGCGGCCAGTGCTATTATCTTCTAATGGAGTTTTCTTCTAAGTAGTTGTTCGTATTCATAGAATATACCGGGTATGCGTAGGATGTGTTCTCAGTTGGTGAACCATCCAAGATGATTTGTCTTCTTTTACAACAGATGTTCTTCATCACACCTCATAAAGGATAAAAGGATTAAGCTTTCGCCGTTGGTTAATCCCTGAGGGATGCGTTATGCATTTGATTTCATTATGCGTCATTTGGCGGTAATCGAATGCATATCTGGCCTTTACAATGACTCGCGGTGGCCTTCCGATGTATCGAGCCAATGCTGCTATCCTCCCAGACCAGTCTGGTACCAATTCGCCGACCTCGGAGAGATGCAAGGCTTAGTGAGTCTGGGGCACTGGGATCGATCCCATGCCTACTGCAGGGCGTCTCCGACCGCTGCGCCACACGCGCCCTTATCTCAGTTCATAGTGAACTTTAGTGATGGAAATGGAGACTACTGAAATCTGCACATGCTTAGAAACCGCATAGCTTTTTCTTTTATTATTCAGCGATTAAATTTCGATGTTTCACAGCTGAGAAAACCTAAATGTCCGCCTGCACTTTTTCTTCAAAACTTGTGTTATCAAGACCGGTTCAATTAAAAATTTAGGTTTTCTTAGACAAAACTTGATTGTTTCCTCTACTGGATTGCCTACGGCTTCCTTGCTCACGCCAATAATTGAAAAATTACACGTCCTCTTTTTTTCCAAAACAGTCTTGAATAAGTTTGAATTTAAAGTAAGCCTTTAAAAAAGTGATATGTATAGTCAAACGAGTAGGAAACGTCCCTCTTCTGTAGGTATGTTATATTCGTAGCCTTCCATATTATTTAAATCGTAGGCAGTTGTCGAAGCGCACAGTGATACTGTAACTTTGTTTGTTATACTGTAATTCTTTGAAAGTAACCCAAGTTTACTTCGTGTTCTGGTGAAAATATGATTAAATTCTTCATTAATTGTTTTTTTAGGCTCCAATAAACGAGACTTGTGCTGACCAGGACGAGTCTGTGATTGATACGAGTAGTGAACTTGGCGATGTTGGTAGTGAAACTAATTCAACGTGTGTAGATAGTGCTAATTATGGTGAAGCCATGGATAAGGTGCAGATCTTTTTTTCCTTGCTTGGACATTTTGCTATAAAAATGCCACATGTTTACTTAGATTAGTGCAAACGACGTTCTAAAAGAGTAGAGCATCCTTAAACAGAGAATCTAGTTGATCCGTGTCTTCTTAATTTGGCGAGGTGTTTTTTCTATGGTGTCTCGAGAAAGTCTTCTCGAGCTTATCCAGTTTGCTACCATTGTTCCCTCCACCACAACTTTTTTTCAGTCGAAGGGAAATGTTCTTTATTGCAACTAGATCTCACGGAACGACATGAATTCTTGTCTTTAGAAACGTAAAATGTTTTTAACATGGGCAGGAATCACACAGGATGAAGTCGATGTATTCACTTGTTCACCTTTTTGTCAGAAATGGTTACCATTTTTGATCACGCTTCGGCTTTCTTATAATTTTTTCACTAATTTAAAGAAGTTTTTTCCTGAAAGTTCTGCCCAAATATGTAATATCGGTTATGCCTCCTTTTCCATCAGAAAAATATGTGCAAGAGTTTCTGAAAATTTTGTGAAGTCCCTGAATTTACGGATAATACTTTATCATGGCAGAACGATGATTTGACTGACGTCGGCTCGCTCTGTTCTGGGCTTTCCGATTTGTCTGGAGTTAGCGATTTAGAGGAGGATTTCGAGACTGTTCATTCCGATAATGAATCAGAGGTTAGTTATAATCCACCTACATTCTTTAGGTAATTTTGCAACGCGAATTTGTTTTTTATTTACTGTCTTTATTTAAGAAGCAGACGCATCGAAAAACAAAGAAACTGGAAAAGCGATCGAGAGGTGTTCGAGCGGGAAAAAAACAGCGAAAACGGCAATTAGGCAAGCAATCAAATATCGAGGCGGTGGCGACCCCGGTAAGTTCTCTTGTTCGTCGGAGATTATAGAAGTGCCACTGAATATTTCTTGTTCTTGAAGGGTACATCTACAATCGTCGAGTTTGCATCCAGAAAATCACATGCCATGAAGAACATGTGGCGAAAGAAGTTGCAGAAAAAACATAGGGTGAAGCATCAGCAATAGTCGTGTTTTGTCCTCTCCTTCTTTGTAAGGTGGATTTCCAAATAAAACCCTTTTTTCCTGTTTAAGCTACCGTGAGCCATTTGTTTGTTCAGCGTTTGATTTGTTGTAATGCGTTGTTGTTTACTTCGTTTTCTTGTTGATTGCTGGTGTAATTCTGTTTGGAGAGATCTATGTTGTTTCCAGTAAATAAACATCCTCAGTCGGTGGTTTAACTGTACGGTTTCAAGTCCATGTGTCCATTCCTCATGTAAGTAGTTGCTTCGTAATATTCTTTCCAGTTTTGTCAGGTGCGTTGACTAGGAATATTGTTATGGATGACGCAGCTACTGCTTGTGAAGGTATGCAATGCATTCAGTGTTTTGCTGCTCATTCTGGGTACTCTTCTGCTGTCTAATCTCGTTTTTTGTCATCTTTCGCTATCTTTTTTAATATTCGGCAGTTTTAGTAAGACTCGGAAAGGAAATTAATTGTTTTTTGTAAAGAAAAGCTTCCAACGGTTTACCGCCGCTTCGTGGTTGGGAGGTGTTCCTGGGTGTTGGACTGCAGTGTACAGCGGCGAGATTCATCCACCGAGCTGGGTCTCACAAGCTGAGGAGTTCAGCGTTTCCTTCAGGAAGCCCAGCTAAGAGTAAACCAGTACCAGGATCCACTATTGTCCTGGTACCGAACTATTCGTATAGTTGCAAATCTCTCTCTGGTCCACAAAGATGGCGACTATCTGTGTTGGTGATGACTTGGGGCAGGCTTTGGCCTGGTTGACCTCGGGACTCCAGGGAACCACAATGGTTAGGTCACTAGAACTCCAAAGAAGTGGAATTATCGGCTTAATTGTTGCGAAATTTCGCAGTGGTGAAGTGTCATTTGGTCCTGTCATTTTCCATACACAGGAATGGTCCCTTCTAACAAATTGTGCCAGAAAAGTCGATTAACATAAGAATTAACTTTATTGTTTTAGATCTGAAGTTTTTTGAAAGACGATTAACAGAGGTGATATCACATATGGGTCCACGATGTACTCGTTGGAGAAGTATGTTCCTCTTAATTTTGTGCATTTTCTCACTTAAAGCTCCAAGGGGCTTTAGCGTCTTGTGTTCAACTTATTCACAGCAGAAAGTAATTGTGTCATCTAAATTTAAACAAATGCAACGTGGTATATGGCAAATTTTATAAATGGAATAAGGACACGTATATAATGCTGAGATATTTGCAAAACTCCGGACCGCAGGTGCATGCGGTGGGGAACGAACGCACTATTGTCCTTACCGGGGGTAGCGCACTTCACCACCACACCATCAGGGTCGTTCGTTTTGCCTGTTTCTCAGCTAGTTCTATTGATCTTTTGCCATCAGCAATCGCCCGTCAACGGGATTGGTACCCCAGATCGTTCACAATTCCTTTAATATCTACATTTTTCAAAACAATTTTTATTCTTACTTTTTGCATGGGTTATCTACTGCTTTCTTTATTTAACGAAAACCAAAAATCTATAAGTAAAAGCACCTTCGTAATTCTAAAGGTGTTTTATTGAATGGATACGAGAGGAGTTATTCAAGGAATTCGCTTCACTTCTTTGAATACTTGGCATAAAGTGAAACTTTTTTTTCACGACAGATGGACCTAGCAGGGTAGTTAGTGATGCAATGTAGGCAGACAAGAAAGCGAGGTACTAGTACGACATTCGCCCCCCACCCACCATCTCCACCATTCTATCCATCTTCTCCCCAATCCCAACGCTCTTACATCCATGTGAGAAAGCGTTAGCTCGGCTATCTCGAAGATTGCAAGGAGAGTTGATTCGACCATCATTCTATGGTATTCATATAGAAAACAGAATCCTCAAGCAGCTGTTGAAGACCATTGCGGACGATGAATGCAACAAGGACGAATCGAGAATGAAAAGGAGCTGGGATCCCAAAGAAGCTGTGATGACGGATCATGTAACTAAATAATAATATTCTAGGAAATGGGCTCAAGGTAATTGAGTTGAGAAAGGTTTCCGGTGCAATGCTCATTAATCTGCCGACAGCGTCGGCGTTGATCAATCCCTGAGGAATGCGCCATGAATTCGACCTCACTAAGAATCGTTTCGAGGTGACTGAATGTATATCTGGCCCATTGCAATGGTTTGCGGTGGCCTACCGATGTATCGAGCCATTGTTGCTATCCTCCCAGACAAGTCTGGTACCAATTTGCCAACCCCGGAGTGGTGGAAGGCTTGGTGAGCCTTGGACGTGGGGATCGATCTCTTGTGTGTGGCAAGGCCTCCTAGCACTGCGTTATATAGATGCACAAATTTAGCCTCCAGTTTCAGTTGTTTTACTCAGTTGTTCTACTGCCCGCTTGAAAATATTCGTAATGTAACAGAGTGCCATTAATCGTTTTTGCACTATCCATTGCTTTCTTTATCTTTTACATTACATGCTTTTCAACGTTTGAATTTAGATTTCTATCAATACATATTTGGGTCTAATGAAAAGACAAAACAGGTAAAAGTAGTACATGATATTTGGAACCTTACAACCGGTTTACCACCTCATCGTGGCTGGGAGGTGTTCCTGGGTGTCGGACTACGATGCACAGTAAGAGGATTCATTCCCTGGCAGAGTCTCCCAAGCTGAAAAAGGGCACGGTGTTTCCATCAAGAAGCCCAGCTAAGAGTAAACAACTGCTGGGATCCGTCACCGTCCTGGTATCGAACAATTCGCGTGGTTGCAAATCTTCCTCCAATCCACAAGCGCAGCGGCCGCCTGTGGTGGTGGCGACCTGGGGCAAACCTTCGCCTGGCTGACATCAGAACTCCATGGAAACAGAATGGCTAGACCATCAAAACTCCGGAAAGTGGAGATTATGCTGGACGATCCAGTGAGAATGGGCGATCCAAGTATCCAAGTAAGATATTTGGGACACGGAAATCGTCATTGCACAAATACATAGAGCAGTCTTGTCCCGTATTTAGAATGGTTGTTTGTGAGATTTAGTTCTTCTTAGTAAATTAATTTAAATGTATTACTTTGTTCATTGAGTGAGAATTTTTTAGTGAAGGAGCGTGTTAACTATAGACGATTACTTATTTCCACATGAAGTCTGTCGTTTGTAATAATGCGTTTCAAAGTAGTCCATATTTATTTAATCGTATTTTTCTGGTGCTAAAATTGAACGGATTCCGAATTGCTCAATGGTAGATTGGTTTAATAATTCTGCTGATTGTTTCTTAATTATCTTGCAAACAATTTCTTTACACGACCCTTACTAACATCTGTGCGGATCTCAACACTTCTTGCTTGCGATTGGCTTTTCTGGCGTCCATCGTCTACGAAAATCTTCGAACTTTTTGCCCCTGGGTTAGGATGCTCTTTGGGGATACTGCATCTTCGTTTTGAACTTCGGTTAAATGCAAATCGAGTCGATTCTTTAGGTAATGTTGGCGATAGCCATATTAGAGCGCTCCCTAAGAGATAGAGGTTTGATGAGCACGAAGCATCATCGAGCTGGTGAACGGCATCACTACCTCATCGCTACCCGTTACCTATCTTCTAAACAGTTTCTCTATATTGATTGTTCGTATTGTATCACTGCGAGTAACATCTAGGTTTTCAAAAACTATGATCTCCTTGCTTCATCTTGTTCAGGAGTTACCGAGTAGGGCATTCCATTCGAAAGGGCAATTTTGTAGTCTCCTATGGATAATTTTGTACGATCAATCGTCATATGTTAGAGGAACACGTAGTAGTTGACATACATCTCCCACATTTTTGCAGTTGTGTGAGAGATGTTCACATTTGTATCCTCTGTGTAAATTGCGTTTAAATGTTTTGCAATTCAAGGCAAACTTACTCTACAACCTTATACTCTTTACTTTATACCATAAATTGATTTTTCAGTTGTTTTATTGTTGATATCCTTATCGGCTGTGTTGACATCGTACAACTGGATTGCGGATCCTACCTTACGTTCGGTGCGTTCTCTTCACGTTTATTCTGGTAATTTTTGAATGTGCAAATAAATACTGTATATTTTTCAAATCTAGGTGTCGCTATGGGAGTCTCTTCAAAGTCATCCTGTGTTTAGCGTGAGCGTGCCGCTGTTGTTCATTCTTTTCACTGCATGCGGTATTCATAAAAGGGTGGTCGAACCGTCGATGTAAGTCAGAATTTGGTAGTTCTTGCAAGTCATCGAAAGGACAACAATAGGTCCTCGATCATACGTAGTAGCTTCTTCGTGAGCATACATTGGTTCTGCTCGCTCCAGGGACTAGTCGAACATCATATCTCTCTTCTAGGCTTTTCGTGAGGAACTCTTACCATGAGGTCGGTCTTCATTCTGTGCGTTTGTCATCCCGAGGAATCCACTCACTAATGGCTCTTGTCCATGAGCTGCCGTTCATGCGCATTACGTGTCCGGCCCACCTTATCTTCGACTGTTTGGCATACAGAACGACATCCTTGATTTTTAGTCGTTGACCCAGGTCAGAACTTTGCATCCCATCCCTCACTTGTATAACACGGGGCACTTCAAGCATCGCCCTTTCGACTGCGCGTTCAATAACATTGAGTGATCTTTCATATTGCTTACGCAGCGACCAGGTTTCTGACGCAAATGTTAAGGCAGAAAGCACCGTTGAGTCCAAAGGGTATGAATGGATGTTCTTTGTTCTCTTCACTGCATCGTCGATGCTCTTGAAAGCTACCCAAGCCACTCGTTTCCTTCTGCTCAACTCTGGTGCTAAGTAAGTTCATCGTGTTGATTTCCTGACCTAGATAGACGTAACTGGAGCATTCGAAGATATACGTTCCGTTGAGCGTGAATGTGGTACACGCAACCAATCCGTTGCTCACGAACGTTGTTTTATGAGATTCCGTCCAACGCTAATTTTTCCACAGGCTTTATTAAAATGAGCAAGCATTCTTTCCGCTTGACTAATGTTTGGTGTTATAACAACGGTGCCCTCAGCAAAGATGGTGTTATTGCCGGCAATCGATTTTCATTCTCATATTGTCCCATTCCAATGTTCGCATGACGTTGTAGAGGGTGGCAGTAAATAATTTTGGCAGGATGTTATCGTCTTACCTAGCCCCTCTTCTGACGTCCATCCTAAGATCATTGTAGAATGGTGATGTCTTGGTTGTGAAATTTTTCTACAGCTCACTAAGAATCTTTCTATACTGAGTAGAAACTCTCTGTCAAGGGCTTTCATGACTGCTTCTATCTCATTTGAGACAAAGACCTTTAAATCGTTGAAAGTGAGACAGAGCGGTCGTGCATTGTAGGTACAGATAGTCACCTTAGTGCTTTGCTATTTAGGCACCTTAGAACGGTCCTGAGATTCTAGCAGCCTCTCCGTACTCGTCCTATCCAACGCTACGAAATTGCTCTTTCGTGGTCAGGGGAATGAGGCCTGTTTTTTTCACTGTGTTTAGCTTTCAGATACTCTTGCTTAGTTCTGAACGTGGGAGCTGGTATAGTCACGGCTAGCTCGGCAATCTCTACCAGAGTGGCCATGGAGCTTGTATGTTGGAGGCGACTCCTTACCTCGTCCCATATACTTCGCTCTCACTTGATTGCAGTCTTTCGGCCGAATTGACTTGTAGAATACAATCCGCATAAACGCGAACACACCCACGCGTGCCAAATCGGCGAAGTAGAAACAGCGAGCCCATCTCCTGGGTCCACTGACGTCTCAGGGAAGCAAACGTCGTTTTTGGTCCGCGGTTAACCTCTTATCGCCACGTAGCCTTGCGACTAACCGGTTCGAGATCCCTCACTCCGAGGATACTTATGTACATATATATTTATATATATATATATATATATATATATATAAGGATGATAGCACAATTTCTGTTCTATAGGTTTCCCACTTTCCCAACTCTTCAATTGCTCCAATTGGTCGAAAATTATGTGCATTTATTGGTAAACCGTCATAGTGGCAAATAGGTCTTGAATGTGTACTGGGAGGTTTTTTAGAATATTTTCTGTAGTCTTTCCATCAGTAAACACGCTCGTTCATTTATAATGCAAGAAGTCGCGGATGGATGTTCGCTCGTCCAAATTTCACGAACTTCTTTTCTTTTCAGCTAGCTCATAGGTTTTCATATTGATGTCCTAAATTCCAGCTTAGTGTACCATCCTATGAAAAGTGTTTTCTTCAGTTCGATTTCTTTTTTCATTCATCTCTTACCGTTTTGTTCGGAAAAACCTCGACAAAAACTGCTGATCTGTTATAGTAAATGCTAAAATCATGGGTATTAATGTTGGTTTAAAAAGTGAACATTCTTCAGAATCGCACGAAGATGTCGCGAATCGTTGTCGTATTTCAGCCTTAGCTGCGATGACGTAGGTTTTTTTGTTGACGTTCTCCAAATACTAATATAGTAATGTTTTTTAACTTCCATTTTTGCACCTTTTTCCGCGGTAGGGTGCGATGTGGAAAACAACTGTAGGAATGCTGAGGCGAAACCACAATTGTTTTGTACGTATTTCTGCATTCCTATAGTTGCATTTCACATCGTAGCCCACAGATGTATTAGGTTGTAACATATTAAATGTCCGATATTAAATGTAAACTTTAAATAACCATAACTTTTTTCATACCATTTTTTATGGATCGAAATGAGCACCGTTGTAATCAGTACATTTTTTCCAATGAAAAGCAAGTTTGTTGACTCTATTAGTTTAAAAATTGTCTGTTCTAGTATTGACAAATTGTTTAGAGACATTTTCAGTGGTTGTTTAGTGGTTGAAAATTTTTTCTGTCAGGTGATCCAAATGCATGGAAAAAATGAAAATCCGTTTTCAACAAATTTGGCGAGTAAGGCAGATGTGGTAAAGTTTCGTTGTGGACTTCATCCAGCTTTCTTAATGTCATTTGGGAAACTTGGGTCTTGCGTTGTCATGAAGCAATATTGGTCCTTTTCTATTGACCAATGCCGGCTGCTTGACGCTTATTTTTTGATGCGTTTCTTCGACTTCAGCACAGTATTTCCCTTACGTAATCGTTTGGCCAGGTCGTATGAATTTGTAATAAATTATATCGGCCATTGTCCACCAAACGAAAATAGTTGTCTTCTCTGAATGCTGACTCGATTTAGGCACGTGTCGCGGGTTCTCATAGGAGTTTAGCCATTGTGCAGAACGGCGACGATTATCGTGCAGTATCTAATTTTCATCGCAGGTTACTAAGCGATTCAAAATGGATCTCCAATGTTGCGAATCAGCAGCAAATTGAAAATTTGCAGACTTTGGGTTTTTTGCTTTTTCTTGAGTTCGTGTGGAACCCATTTGTCCATTTTTTAAATTTTACCAATCAACTGTAAGTGACGTTAAGTGGTCATGGCACCGACTCCAAACACTGTCGGTGGTTCTCGGACTGTTTGACGTGGATTTGATTCGACTAGAGTAGGAAAAGCCTCATCGTTAACCGTAATTTCTGGCCAACCATGCTCATCGTTAGAAAGACTCTTGTCCTTGGATTCAAAATTTGTGTACCAACGACGAATAGCGGGTTCGTTAACAAAGTGTCTTCAAACTTGGCATTGATATTCCGAGCTCCTGCTGCGGCGTTATGTCCACTCTTCCACACTTACATAAAAGAACGCGATTAACACTTTGGTTCATGCTAATGTTAAAGCCTGTAAAAATGTTACAATAATAAATCTTGAGGAAAAACCATTACTTAGAAAGAGCGGAATTTGTGTTTATTTAAAAAAAAACTAATCAGAAAATCAATGAAACCGGACATTTTATGTGTTGCAACCTAATAGTAGTTTTATAGCGTTTTTTTTTGAAAATCCTACGAATGTCGCAGACTTTCCGAAGACATTTTCATTAACAGTTTGCTCGTCAAGTAATTTTTCCAGGAATTGGTAGTTTAATTACATGGATAGCGTGCTTATAGATTTGGTGAGAAGTCGGAATGTGTTTTAGAAAAACCTAATCTTATTTTTCGTGGTCCATTCTTCAGACAGAAGGTAATGTAGCAGATGACATCATCTACAAAGTGCGGAGAATCACATAAGTACTTATATGACCCTCCCTCAACTCTCGTGTGCCTCACACGACTTCTCCTGTTCTATTCATTATACTGCAGCAATCACCCATACAGTGGTCGGCTTCGGGTGTGTGTCCGAATTTGAGGTTGCCAGCTTCGCTTCTCATTGATAACATGAATGTTTGGTGGACATGAGTCTACAGAAACCTAGGCTATTCTGTCCCTCTAAGACCTAACTGTGGTCACAGTCAGTTGCCCCACCAAAGGTCGGCGAGTGGATTTATTCCTTGTGAGTTATATTCATCGAGGACTACACGGATTCTTGTTGCTGTAACGACTCCTTTGGCAAGTCATCCAATTGCTCGATGATGATGATAGAAACCGAATTCGAATGCGAAACAGTGTTCATAATTTTCTCAAACCATCGATCAAATCGTCAGTTCTCGTACAAAGCCGATATTTCATCACATTTCCCATTATGCAAGGCAGCTACTGAACATATTTCATTAGGCTGATCCACTTCTTTTACTTCCAATTCATGCGCCGGCAGTTCTTCGAGTTTGTCTTTCTAAATTTGTTGATGACCTCCGTCACTCTAGTTTCAGTTGCACTCTATTTTCGCAAATTATGGAATCGTTATTAATGAACTTGGTTCAGTTAGCACCAAGTATTCATCATTGAAGGCTTTCATATGCTTCTCGGAAGTTTTGAGGCCTTCCATCCACCATAGCCGCTCAGTTTTCTAGCCAAATACAATGTTAATTTTTGAGCACTTCATAAGACTTTACATCCAGCGTTGGTTCGTACAAAGTGTAGCTCGGTTTTCTTTTCACGGTGTGGATTACATTCAATGTCAAATTTGGTACTGTTTTTAAAAAACCTTGTAGCATCGTTCGTCAAATTCTTCTTCCAATTTTTTTCCCAAACTTTTGCTTTTTTCTCTACAAAATCATTTGAGGTTATGGAACGCAAAAGTTTCTAAGCATGAAAAAAGCGAAGTTGGGAACACAAGGTTTTAGTTTCTGATTTTCATCAGTTTTCATAGATTTTACTTTTCACACTATTGAATCCAAACGCGTTTTCTGTGCCTTCTACAAGAAGACAACAGGTTCTTAGGTTAATTGCAAAATTACTTGTGATCCTACAAATGTTAGTACCTGTTCAGAATGGAAAGCTGATTGTGAAACCGACTGTTCGAATGTCGTCACCGTGAGCTTATGATCTCGATTCCGAGGTTCTCGGAGGAAACCTCGTTCTTGAAACGAAAATTGTTGTATCCAGAAGACATTTGGTGGACTAGTTCTGGTGTATTCGATGCATTTACGTTTTATAGATATACTGCTTTCATCTACTATGTGATTCATAGAGCTTTTTGTAAGGTTTGTTTCATGCGAGCGCAACTGTTTATTCGGTGGTCTACTTAATAAGTTATGTTTCATACATGAACAGGTTGACGACCATATGACCACCCGAAATCGGGTCACGTCTGTTCAGTATTTCGCAAGGGTTTGCCTGCCCACTTTTTGTATTCTATCGACAAATTTTCGATCAGCCTTTGATTTTTTGGCCTTCAGTTCTTTGAGCCTTTAACGATAGCCTTTTTGGCCTACCTCCTCGAAGTCAGCGGTGGTCGTCAATTTATTGGTTCATATGACTGGATTTCTTAGTGGAGATTCTGCCATTTTTTTTTCTAGGTTTCGATAATTGTTTACGTCTCTGGTTTGCCTGCTGTTATTCGTTTGTCTCATTTTTTTTGTTTGTTCTGCATTTCTCATAAGTCTGGGAGTTAGATATTAAATTTACTTGGTGAAATGTGTAGTTCATCAATGAATTAATGAAATTAAACCTGTATTGTATTTGTAACTTGACATGGATTTTCCATCGTATCTTTTCAATAGGTGTTCTTCTGTATATTTGGTGGATTCCTACAAATATATCAGGTGGCGTGTGGCGCAGTGGTCAGAGGCGCCCTGCAACACATGCGTGGAATCGATCCCTGCACCCATGGCCCACCAAGCCTTCCATCCCTTCGGGGTCGAAAAATTGGTACCATACTTGTCTGGGAGAGTAGCAACACTGGCTCCATACACTGGTAGTCCACTGCGAGTCATTGTAAAGGCCAGATATGCATTCAATCACCTCCAAACGATGCTTGATGAAGTTGAGTGCTTGGCGTATTCTTCAACGATTGATCAACGTCGAGAGTTTTATCGTTTATTTTTTTTTATATCACAGCGTTATCTTATCTCCATTTCGTCCCGTTTAGTATTAAAACAGAAATTTCCTGAAGGCTCTGCCCAACGTTCTGGATTTTACACGAATCAATGTCACAGTTTCCTGTCGTATTGCGTCGAAGTTTACTTCACATCTGCTTCAGAACATTCTCAGGATTCACGAATTCTCTTTCAGGGTCTAGTGGCAATGATGATGGTTGTCGATGCCACGGGATTGGCGCTTGTACCATGGGATCGGCTGACCGTTCTCATCATTTTGGGCGTTACATGGTTTTTTAAGTTCTTCATTGTCGGTAAGTGGGGAGACAGCTAAACTAAATAACGCGAAAAGTGGTTAATGGAATGTTCTTTCTATGTTCCTTCGGTGAGACTTTGAAGTTAGTGACAAGTCGGCAGCCTGAATGGCTATAACCTGCGTAGATGTTAGCCATATACGGCATATTGATTGATTAGAAATACTAAATGTAATGCCGTTCTTTGATACCATGTGCCTATATAGTACGGTATTGTAGGTTCCTTTGATCCCAAAAAGTTTGAGAGATGTCCGAATTTCGCCATTTTCTTTCTGGAATAACCTTTTATAGAGGATGAGATCTTTGCAAACAGTGATCGGACTTCACAAGTTGGACTGAATATATCCCACTAACAGCATTTAGCACTTATAATTACATTTCGAGGAGTTTTAATAAATATGCGATGGTTTGCTTACTGCATGCGTTTTTTCGATCGGTATGCTTCGCCATTGATATCACAGCTTTTCTTTTCCGTTGGTTTATGTTGGTATTTCATCGATTTGTTCTTCTATTCGTTCACTCATTAACTCATTCATTCATTCTTCTTTTTTAGCGATCATATAAAATAACACTCAAGTTTTTATTCCAATTTTGTGACGCTCAATTACTGCCTTCGTTTTTTTTTAAAGTTTCTCGCTCACTCTTTTTCTTTTTTTTTTTGTTTCATCTAGACCTGTTCTTGCTTTTGGTCCATGCAAGTGTTTTTATCGATCGGACGGTGGTGTACGAAACATTGTGATGTTTCTCTTACGCTGCTTGTAGTTCATTCGAAAGCATTCGAACCATAGCAATTGGCGTCAACGTTCAACGTTGTGGGTCATGCTCATTGTGCGCTTCTTCGTAGTATGTGAGTTTCTCACTTCTTCTTTCTCCTCCTCCTCTTCATCTTTATCATCGCCATCATCGTCTTCTTCCTCTTTCTCTTCCTCTTCCTCTTCCTCTTCCTTATCTCTCTGTGGTTTTCACTTAGTTAGTCTTAACTTAATAACGGATGTCCACTACACTTCTAAAACAGCCAAGTTTTATTACATATTGCTATCGAGGCGTATTGATTTTTTAGTTTTAAATTTCTACTTCTTATGTACCATGAGTCATTTGTTTTGTTTTTGACGTTCTCTTTCCTTAGTCTATCTTATGATAAATTTCCTTTATCCTACTCCAGTTTGATGAGTTTCATAGCTCCAATGGTTTACGATTTCGAGTCCGTTCACTTGAGCGAATTTTACGGGGATCCGTACATTTGAAGTCAGTCAAAAGATTTTGAACTCGCGTTGTTGCATAGGGTTTCTTTCGTTTGTAAAAATTCGTTTCATTTCATCTTTATCATCGCCAGTGGAGGTTACCTTACATTTTTATGGTGGCATTTGCAAGTTATATTTGTTTTTCATGGCACTTTATTTGCCACTGCGACCGACCATTGTGACCAGTTCAATGTCTGCACGTCGTGCAGATGCTGTTGAGAAGGTGTAGGTCGTTTTGCTCTAGGTGTCTTATTATCTGCTGAATGTGGTAGTGGATGGTTCGTATTGGAAAATCCTTTGTGGGGCTGTGTGCTTTCTGTTAAGCTTCAAGAGTTGAAGTGATTTGTTGGTAGTTCTCATGACTGTGGACTTCTTTAAGACAGCCCACTAGAAGAACCCGCAATGTGGGGTCTGCTGAGGTATGGATCCATCGTCGTAGATTATTTACCCAGTTGTCGGCTGTATTACTTCTTGCTCTATGTACGGCTGTCCCTTCAGTTCGTTCACTAATTTCATCGAATGTATAAGGTAACCTAAGATGTCGATATAGTCAGAACCGTCCGTCTTAATCCGTTCATCGCACGATGAAACCTTCTTGAACTAGATTTCCCATCCGATTTATTTGCAGTGCTCTACACTTTGCCACGCCTTGTTTTGCTTTTTAAAAATCTACGTCATCGCTTTTCAGAGGTGATAACTACGCGCAAAATGATGGTCTGTAGGTACTTTTCACTCTTGCAAACGACTTTGGATGGAAATTAAACGACTTCACGAACAGGCTGATGTTCCGGCGAATTTCGCCTTTCTCAGAGCCTGGAAAGGTCAAGTTGACCGCAATTTACCCAGCCAAACACTTCCATAACCAAACAGAGAAAGTGCTAAACCAAGATTTCAATCACATTGAACACATAATTCATAACTGAAATACCACCGAGCACACCAAAAAGCCAACTAGTTTGCAACCATTTGTATGACCGTCTATGTACAACGCAAAATTGTATGATTTTCCCAACGGTAGAGACGGTGATTGCATGAGTTCGGATACAGTTTATCTGATCCCTTGTGAAGCGTGCAGAGACGAATACATTGGCGAAACGGGTAGACTATTCTGCGTCCGTATAAAAAAATACCTAGTCAATAAACTTAAAGTCATACCAAGTACCCCACCGGTCACGCATAGGTCACAGAGACATAACGGGGAAGCTTTTGAAGTAGAAGTCACGATCTTCGCACAGGAGTCGAAAACACAAGCGTGCAAAATTCTTAGGGCATCCTGAATTAATTCCAGGAATCCGAAAATGAACAGCAGGTAGGAATACCTCATTATCACGTGTGATATTGTGCAGTATTTAAGAATGCTGTTCTGATGTGATAGGCACATTACGCTTCAATGTAAACTCTGTGAGGTTTGTCTCCACGTGACATATTCAGTGGAAGACTCATAGAAAGCGATGAGTATGCGGTGAAGGCATTTTGTGTTAAACGTGATAGAAATTTTGGTTTAGCATTTTCTCGGTTTCGTTATGGAAGTGTTTGGCTGGGTAGATTGCGGTCAACTTGACCTTTCCAGGCTCTGAGGAAAGCGAAATCCACCGGCTTGTTCTTGAATAAAGAGTAAAATAACACCTCGAGTTTGCTCAGCAAGAATATAAAGAAGACAGTGTTCATTTTTCTTGTCAAGACTATTTCCTGATTATGTGTTCATTGTATGATTTCTGTTCTCTTAACATGCATTTCGAAATTCGTATCATGCTAGAACGTTGACCATGAGGGACACAAATCTTGCCTTTAAAACGGTTTGCGGCTTAAGTTCGCCGAGTCAGAACTCCAGTCTTTCCTAATGAGTTTTGTAAATAAACAGTGACTTCGACGAGATGAGGGGCTCGTACGGCTTCTGTGGTTATCATCTTTGGTATAATTTATTGCTTTTTTAAACGCTTACATCTTAACTTCGATATGCTTCCTAATCAGACCGTGATACCATATCAAACTGGTTCGTTTCAATTTCTGGGCTGCAATTTATCAATAGCTCAAGCTACTAGGTAGATTGTAGGTAGGTGGATTCCAAATCTTCTTTTAACGCTAAGGAACGGTAAATTTAGTTTTTACAAATTTTCAATGAGTTGTATCACGGGGCCATCTTGAGTTCATAGGTGATGTGCAAAACAGCCTTAAGAAATCTGTTTTTCCTTGTTTCTGATTAGAAATCCTTACTTATTTTCAGTCGGTGGTTCAATTCCATATGTTTTCCAATACGTGGAAATTCATCATAGGCGTAACGCTCAGGGTTTCTCGCTGTTCGTTTGCCTAGCGTTGTGTATCGCTAATATTCTTAGAATACTATTTTGGTAGGTGCTCAGTTTTCTTACTGTTATTTTCTACTTTATGCTCGTATAACGTTGGAGTTCAACTTGTAGGTTCGGTAAACGATTCGATCTGGCTTTGCTGGCGCAAAGTATTGTGATGTTTATCTGCATGGTATTCATGCTAGAGATATCAGTGCGAATGAACAGGAAACACACACCGAAAAGCCAGTATAAATCAATTCTAAGTAAGTATTCCTTGCTTGAAGTTCCATCGATTGAATTCCAGGATACCTTATTGCCACAAAATAGAACATTTTTATGCACTGCTGTACTTTTTTGTTTTGTTTTTCTTTTTTTTTTTACATTCCTACCACGTAAGACAAACGCGAATGCTTAACTTGGAGTTGTATCAAAAGTCATATTAGTTGATATTTATGATAGCATTCAATAGTATAGAATAAACGCAGGTGATATTTGAGCCAGTAGAAAGGTTATGGCTAAAAGGTAACTGTGAAATTATGTCAGGGCTGTCGAAATTTCTGAAAAGTGCTAGATGTGTAGATTACATACCTACAAGTGATAGTTCGATCGCGTGCTGGTCGTTTTCTAAATGTGTACGGTTAAGCCTTGTATAAATTTTTTCTTACAATATTGTGTGTAAATGTCAATAGCCAATGCTATTCTTTATGCATACATCTGCATAATTCAAAAGTACTCTCAGATTAGCGTGTGAACGCACTTCTTTTTCCTTGCTTCTGATCATTTTTTCTCGGCATATCGCCATAGTGGAGTGAAGATGATAGTGGTCCTTTTTTATTTACTCCCTATTCTGTTTTCATGACAAAGTAAAAAAAAGGATAAAGCTCCCGGCGTTGATCAATCCCTGAGGGGTGCGCCATGCGGTCGACTTCATTAAGTATCATTGGAGAGGATTGAACGCTTATTTGGCCTTTACAATGACTCGCGGTGGCCTACCGATGTATCGAGCCAATTCCCAGGATCGACTTTCTATTAATCTCGACGTTGGAGTATGAATGCGTCGTTTTCTCGTTCAGCAATTGCGAGGTTGTGCTGCATACATTTACCTCAATAGAAAACACAATACAATACAACAGTAGTTGACGTTTCGACAGTATCGCCTTCTTCAGAGCCTGGAAGGGTATATTGATATACAATTTACTAGGCTAAACGCTTCAATAACACTCATAAAAAGACGAAAAACTATGGGAATTACGTGATCAACAGCTTCTCGAAAAACACTGCTTTTTACGTTACTTCCAATGAGGATTAGAATAGCCGATTATAGTCGCAAATGGTTGATGACTGCACCATCCCACATCAGAAATTGATGCGAACATACAGGGTTAGGTCGCGTATGACCTCTGGGCATCCACCTTGCTATTCATTGCAGGGTTTTTGGCATTTAGCCAAAAAACCTCGGGAAGTTTTTGCGCTGGTGTTGTGGTCTCCTGTGTAAGGGTATTGACTTTTACGTCAAAATCGTCTCCGGTATGCCTGTGTATCCTTTGCGTGTCTAGTGGGGTACTTTGTCTTAGTTTTCGTTTGCCATCTAGGTGTGCTTTTATACGGATACACAAAGGTCTGTCCGTTTGCCAATATATTCATCTTCGCAATTATTACAAGAGATAAGGTATATCGTACCTGAAGTCATGCAATCTCTGTCCCTGCCGTAAGGGCAAATCACGGAATTTGTTGTTTCACATAGACGGTCATACCGACGGTTACGAACTAACTGACGACGTAGTGTAGCCGGTGGTATTTCAACTATCGTTACGATTTCCTCTAGACTTCTCAAGCATCGTTTAACAGCTACACTTCTAATAAAGGGCAACATAAACGGGACTTTCTTTTATCCAAGTGTTTCGCTTGGGCGCGTCGCTCTCCTTCTAAACTTATCTCGTGCGGTAACATTTCGTTGGTAATGGAGATGGCTATTTGCCGAGTTAAGTGCCGAGCTATGTTGCGCGATTTTCCTTTTAGTTCACCGGTTGTGCACGGAGAGGTGACTGTTCGAAACGTGTTTTTCACAAGCGCGCTCTTTGTGTGTGAAGAGTGGGAAGAAAGGAAATGAGCGAGTATATTCTTGTTATTTGGCTTTCGGTACCTTTGTCATGTAACCGCTACTTGATAGGTTTATTTGAACGTTTAGAAATGGAAGCCAGGTTTCTTTCGGTTTCTCCCTGGTAAATTTAATATACTCAGACTCTTCATTCATTGGTTGCCGTAGAGTTTTTCGTCTTTTTGTAAGTGTTATTGAAGCGTTTGGCCTAGTAGATTGTATATCAGTATACCCTTCCAGGCTCTGAAGAAGGCGATACTGTCGAAACGTCAGCTATTGTTGTATTGTATTGTGTTTTCTATTGAGGTAAATGTATGCAGCACAACAAACTCGCGATTGCTGAACAAGAAAACGACGCATTCATATTGAACCAGCGTTGCTATCCAACCAGACAAGTCTGGTACCAATTTACCAATCCTGGAGAAATGGAAGACTTGCTGGGCCATGGGCGCAGGTATCGATTCCACGTGTGTGTTGCAAGGCGCCCACGACCACTGCGCCACACATGCCCTTATGAAAGCCGTTAGATTGTAAACCTCTCTACCGATAAGATACAGGTTTTATTGTTTCACTTCGGTTAAACGTTGTTTTTTTTTTTTGTTTGAGCAAATGCATAGCTTTCCTTTTTTTGTTGAGATTCTCTGATTTTAAACATAGAAGAGATTGAACGGCCGAGATTTTGTCCAGTAGAACACGATTGTTCTCGTCATTGTGCGCCGTGTCGCGTCCACGTTTTTTTTGTTTTTTGTTTTTTCTTCACATTTTTATTTTGGAAAAACCATGCCTTTCGGTGATGGCGCAAAGTCTACCATAACTTTAGCAAGACTCCAAGCCCTTGTATAATTTGGTTATTAAAAAATTGTCTCTAATTATGGAGAGAAAATTCCCTCTATTGCATTAAGTAATTGCCGTGTAAGTAATATAATATGATGTAATGCAATGCATTAGACTGAAGTGTTTCTAATTTAGTTCTTTATTTGATAAGCTGTTAACAAGGAAGCATCAATAAATAACAACTCCATTTTTAAAATGACAAATACCTCGTATAACCCTCCCTTATCCGTTGATGCACCATGGGCTCTGCCACTAAGCACCGCACAAGTTAGATATAAACCTCGCACGTGTCGCAAAAGACTGTGATTACGCACGAGCTGTCCGTACTGACATAAGATGTGTGTTCTCCATTCGGCATTGCTGTGCTCAGATTCCATGCAGTTGGTAAAGTTGATCCAGCTGACAGACTAGGAGGGTGATTTGTCGACTCATTATAGGAGGTGGAACTGTTTGTCTCAGTGTACTCATTTTCATCGTCATCGTTGTCTTCGATTATGACCACCTTGGCGCCGGTGCCGGAAATCTGAATCAGCTTTCATCGTTTCTTGGAGCGATTTTTTGGTGTGTTTCCAGACATATTTGAAGCAGGTCCACCAATGAATCAGATAGTGAGTTCTTTACCTCAGATTGTATTTGCAACAACAAGTTATGAGTGAAATGAAATAGATTTCAGATGTCGGGAAGAAGTCCTTTTGAACCAGAACTAAAGACCAGTCATAGTGAAACTATCTCATGTATGATCCATGAAAGGCGTTTTTCTTCGATCAAAAATTTTCAGCGTTTTACGGTCAAATTGAAGGATAAATGGGTTTCAGTAATACACCAATGCAAAATTGAACTGTGCAGCTGATTCGACAGTTTTCAAAAGAAAAGGTACAAAAGTCAATCTTGAGTCACCTTTTTCTTTTGTCCAAAAATTGATGGTTCGGTCTGATGACGCTTCTGACTGACCCGACCGGAAATTACCGCTACCTTTCTGCCGTCCAATTCGTATGACTTATGTTGAGCGTTGCTCTTAGCTCGGTGACAGTGATGTGATAATCGTTTCGCACGGAGAGCGGGCGGTAAAGGTATTAATTTAGGAAGGCACTGGTATAAGATCTGCCATGTAGGGATAACCAGTCGTTGAGCTGACTTTTTGTATTCCCTTATAGTAAACGAGTAGATAATCGGGTTGAGCGTCGAATTGCAATATCCTAAATAAAATTTGTTTTGTGGACGAATGAGTGGAGTGGAAAATATGAGGTGGCATGACTTTCATCGTCGTCCGGTTATGGACATGTAATGAACAAAAACCTTGATAAAGTTTTCCATAACGGCTACTTATTGTAGGTCTGCCTACTATTCTATGCTCTTTCTTTCACGTGTGTTTTTTTCTATTCTTTTTTATTTCCTTGGAAACTACCAACGTTATTTCTGTTGCTGTTTCTAGACCTTGTCTTGTTCACTGGATGATTTCTTAAAAATCGTGGTAATCTCGCAAAGATGGTCAGTGTTTGTGATTTTATGTATAGGTGTAATGAACCACTCATCTGATTTTCGTGACTGATCACAATTTCCTCAAGCGATAACGTAACACCGTCTGCTACCAAAATTTGTAACTCTTCGCTTAAATCGACATCTGTTGTACTGGTTTTCCATAAAATTTGAGAGTTATGTAGTTTTTGCACATAGTTTTCTTTTGCTTCCCAACGGTTTACCGCCTCATAGCGGCTGGGAGATGTTCCTCGGTGTCGGGCTGCGTTGTACAGCAGAGGGACTCATCCTCGCACAAGGTCTCCTAAGCTGGGAAAGAGTCCGGCGGAGGGGTTATAATGTAGAGTTTGGTAGGGTGAAATCCAACTAAGAGTGAACCAGTAATATGATCTATCACCGTCCTGGTATCAAACTAGTCCCATGGTGACAAAGCTCCCCCTGATCCTTGAGGGCTGCAACTGCTTGTGGTAGTGACGACCTGGATCAGTTGTTGGCCAGGCTGTCCTCGGGACTCCAGTGAACCAAAATTGTTAAACCAGCAATTCTCCGGAGTATGAAAATTATGCTGAGGCCCGCACAACCAGTGAGGAAGGACCATCCAAGTATCCAACTATGCAAGTAGTTTTGTTTTAACCTTCTAAGCATTCAACCGTACTGTCGAACAATTAATTGAACTACGAAAAGTTTTCTTTCTTCATTTCTTTTCTACACGTTTTCTATTGTTCTTCAAATTGCATATAGCCTAATCAGCGTTATTTCCCCTATTATCATACGCTTAGACTCCAAAAATGCCCAGTAACGTACCTAGCCAACTTGTAAGATCGATGGCGATCGGCGGAATGCATCCATGGCAGTTGTAATCTGAAATGCGCTTACTTATTTGTGTTTTTTCCTCAAAAGTGGACGGTCGCAATATGTTGTTTGCAGTCGTAGCTTTCACTCTTTCTACTGCCATTATGGAGTCATTGCTTTTATATACGCTCGTCCCGCTATATAGATTAATGTTTTGAAATTTGCGTCGTTAGATATGATGGAATTTTTAACTTGTAGCTAATTCTACAATTGGATTGCTTAGCTATATGGATATGCAGCGACGCATGCAGTGCAGTGGTCGGAGGCGCCTTGCAATACACATGGATCGATCCCCGCGTTCAAGGCCCGCCAAGCCCTCCATCTCTTCGGAGTCTGCAAATTGGTACCAAACTTGTTTGGGAGGATAGCAGCACTGACTCGATACATCGGTAGGCCACCACGGTCATTATATAGGCCAGATATGCATTCAGTTACCTCTAACGATGCTTGATGAGGTCGAATGCGTGGCACATCCTTTCGAGATAGATCAACGCCAAGAGCTTTACTCTTTATTCTTTTATGGAGGTGCTAAGGAAGTTTATCTACACGTTTTGCAATCACTTGAAATGGGTGCTGAAGATATGCCGGGAAAACTAGTAGCGACAGATTTTTATTTCAGTACTTCTTTGATGTACTAGGCAAAGTCGATGTCTTACTAAATCTTGTACTGAATGGGAAATGTCTTCTACGTTCGATGGGTTCTACGGAGTTGTTTTCACTAATGGATTCTCGCGAATGTAGTGAAGTATCCTAATTCACGGTAATATCTTCTTTTTTTTATAATTTCTGGCAGAATGAGCTTACTGGTCAAGTAGAGAGTGAAGAATGGCAGCCAGCAGAAGAGAAACGAGAATGAAACGACACCGAGGGTCTTCGCGATTCTCTCGTGAGTCCGTAGTACACGCCGCTGATGTTCCATCATACTGATGTTCTTCCCGAAATGTACTCGTAGAGTGCTCTGTGACTTGTTTAGATTCAGAAAACTCCTACACTATAAAAACATGGTATTAGCAATTTCCTTGAATTGTTGTGCGATATAGAGCAAATCAGTATATATCTTATGAGTCAAAACCAAATCGGGGAAGTTGACTAAGATTAGGAAGAAAGGTTAGCAAATTTATGTGAAAGTGGTAGTTTAAACATTAAACGTCTTGCCTGATGACTGGTCGTATTCGAGAAGAAATTCATGCTATTATTAAGAATTATCAGAAATCCACGATCGAGTGCTTTTTGTCGATTTCGGGCTAACTTGTAGATTCGCCAGTAGAGAGTGATTGTAACAGATGCAGGAAGAAAGAACGCAAATACAACACTGTGAGCCAAGTAGCGGATTTCATTGCCAGCAAAGCATCTAGACTAAAAAATCTAGTTACTATTGAGATGCTTACTACAGTGATCTTGTTGATTCGTATTCGAAGTTCTTTGTTAACGGAGCCCTAAAAAATATTCAGAATAAAGGACAGGTTTTACCAACGGTTTACCGTCTCATCGGTTCCTAGGTGTCGGGCTATGATGTACAGTGAGGGGATTCATCACTCCCCGGCAAGGTCTTCCATGCTGAGAAGGAGTCCGACGTTTCCGTCAGGGAGCCCAGCTAAGGGTAAATCAATACCAGGATCCACCACCGTTCTGGTACTATAGTCGCCTGGTGGCAAATATTGCTTTGAACGACAAGGGCGGCCACTGCCTGCAATTGTGACGACATGGGCAGACTTCAGCCTCGGGACTCCAAGAAACAATTGCTAAGCCAACAGAACTCTGGAAAATGGAGAATGTGCTGGGGTCTGCACAACCATTGAGGATGGGCTGTGCAAGTATTTAAGTATAAGGAACAGGTACTACTGTGTGAACCTTTGTGTCCATTGCAATGTCTCCAAAAAAAAATTTTTTTTTTGATCATTATTACATTTCATGCCGAAACAGTTTTTCAGTCTGCTCATGCTTGGAATCAGAAAATTTTGTGGGCTTACTGCTAACATTCTATATTCATAATCTTTGTGAACTATGTTCGTAATAGCTGTAACTAGATCACAAGCTGGTAGAGATTCATGAACAATGAGTATGAGGAGACGAGGCACAACCATTTTTCGTGAAATAGATAAGCATAGGAAAGCCTACTGACGTCATCGTAACATTGTGGTTGATCCCAACGGATAGTGGTCAGTAGTATTGCTGAAGAGAACATCCATATAGTTATTAAGACGACTACCACTTTGGTCTTGGTCACTAGCGATTTATAACGGAGTGGCCGTGTTACCGCTAAGTAGCGGTCAACCGAAATCACACAGATCGTTACCTGAAAGTTTTGATATTTCAAATGTTTTTTTTCCTTGCTTAATGTGCAAATTCGCCAAATTTCAATGGAGTCCGATAGATATGATTTGTGGTAATTCGGAAGTTTTTTTATATTTTGGTGCGTTGAAAAAATGAGTACTGGATCTTCTCCGTTAATTCTCTTAAGCAACGTGCTCCAAGCACTTTCTGGTGCTGAAACGGTTGGTTTAGCGCGACTTTGAGTGCAAAAACTAACTCAGCAAGCGTGTACTTTTTGGAATTGATCATGTTTTATTCTATTAGGAATGTTGGACTTCAACCATTTGCGTTCCCGTAATTGAAATTCCTAATTTATACGTCACTAAAGTCTTCACGCAAGAACACGCATCAAGAAGAGCTATATCACTTAAGTACCGATAAGGATTTTTCCGTCTTCGTCACAATCGTTATTTCATGCAATTCAAGTAAAGAAAAAGAGGAAGTGGAAAAAAGATGGTAGGCAGCCACAATGATCCTGATTACTGATATTTGGAAAACTCTGGCTCGCAGGTGTCTGGGGATGAGGATCGAACCTGTTACTACCCTTTCCGTGGGCTAATGTATCCACCATCACACCATGCCGGTCCTTCGTTTCGTCTTTCTCTCAACATCATTGTGGTTGCATTTCACTAATACCCTACCGTGAAAAATTGTAATAGATAGTAAATAAAAAAGTTAACATTGTGATTTAGACCACAGCTTCAGCTAGACCGGGTTCATTGCCGATTGGGGGTTCCTAAATTTAATCCCGTCGACAGGTGATTGCTGACGGTACTGTTGGATAGAAAAACTAGCTGACAGAAAAATGAAACAAAAGACGCGCATTGTGTGATGATGAACAGGTTATCCTCCAGAAAGGGTAATAACGGGTTCGATCTCCACCGCAGGCACCTGCAGTTCGGAGTTTTGAAAATATCTCAGGATCATTGTGGTAACATTTCAATAAGATCCTGCCGTGAAAATTGTGATAGGCAGTACACAAAAATTTAACATGGGGATGATATTAAAGAATAGAACTGCGTAAAACTCACCACTGAACATGTGCAAAACGTAACATCTGCAGCCACCCAAACGCGACACAAAAATCGACCGAATATCCATTCTCGATAAGCCAGATGGAAAGCGCCAAGTGGCAACACGATTATTCCGACGAGGAAATCACTGAGGCCGAGGTTCCAGACAAGAAGTGTTGTGTTGGTTCGACCAACACGAGCTTTAAAGAATAGCACTAGGAGGTTGCCAAAAACAGTCAACAGAATAACAATCACGATAGGAATGCTACAAGTAACAATCAGAGGAGTGGGTAGAGTTCTTGTCTGAGTACTATGTTCGGCAAGTTGATGTGACTGAAAGAGTATTTTCAAAGATCGTAAGTAAACGAAAAGGTTGGGATTTTTAAGCCTTACTTGTGCATAACAGCCATCTGACATATTGAAGCTTGAGCGTACTTCATCAGTCATACTATCACTTCTAATTCAGAAGTCCGGATATTTGCGAAGGTGCGTGGGTGGTCTTAAAGTACAAATTAATGTGTAATACTTGGTTTAGTTTAGCATGTTCTTGAAAATCAAGGAGTTATGTTAAGATCGATAAGTCCAAGGAGCTTAGGGCAAAGTCGTAGCTGGTTTCGTTGATGCAATGGACATGCGTTGGGCGGAACCTAGCACTTAAAGGTTTTCCTGAATGCGTGATGATGAGAGATTATGAGGTCGCCAGTTGGTTTCACTGCAACGCATATGTGAGATTTCGAAGATGCCAACAATGTCTTTGTTTTAAGGTCCTTTAACAGTGGCCATTCATCTGAGGTTTTATCTTCTGGCTGCAAATTGTGGTTATCTCGAATTATATCCGAAGTTAAAAACAGCAATTTCCCCTCGATTCGACTCAATTGCCGTTGTCTTCAACGCTATTTGATGATAACGATCACAACATTCTAATGTTGTTAGTAAAACCAAATATTGTCCTCGTGGTTAGACTTGACTGCAATGATTCTTCACTTTTTTTGATTGAAGACGTTCATTTCAACATGGCTCCAAGTTCCCTCTGAAATGGTCCAGTAGTAAAGTTTGATTATTACTTATGTGGAAGAAAGGCGTATGCTAACACGTACGGCCTTTAGCTACGAGATCTACATAGGAACTAGTAATGATTCCATTATCCTTTCCAACGATGAACACGCTCACATTGTTAGCGGAACGGTTAGCATTTATTGAGCTATATACTAGAATCTACTGCAATATTTAGTGTCACGTTATCGGATAGTCTGTTGATTCAGTTGCTATTTATTTAATTGTAAATGTTGTCATCAGGTTTCATGCTTGGTGTTTATCAGTGTTAGGGACACGTGTACTGCAGTAGTTAGAGGTGCCCTGAAGTACACGTATGGTCTCTGGTTTAATCTCACTCCACGGGCTCACCAAGCCTTCCATCGCTACTGGGTTCGCAAATTCGTAGCACTCCTGTATGATAGGATTGCAGTGCTGACTCCTTGCATCAGTAGCCCACTCCAAGTCATTGTATAGCGCTGCTTTCAACCAACTCGAGCAATGGTTGATTAAGTCGAATACATGGTGTATCTGTGAGGCAATGACCGACGCCGAGACCTTTGTCCTCTATCCTTTATTTCATAGTGATATAAGTCTTATGCTGAGGAGAACAGGAAAATTGAAAGATCGAGATCATATGAGATTTGTAAATCAAGAAATTGTCGAATGCAAAGTATTAATTAAACGTTTAATTATTAATTATAATTTCCTGATAAAATTGAAGTCCAGTAAGGTTTTCTTCTGTCAAAGCAAGCAGTGCTATACACTTTGAGTCAGACGTAGGTTATCAGAATTATTGATTGGCGGAAACAGATTCTATTAGGTCTAAACTCGTAACGAATGGAAATGAGGGGTGGAATAACACCCGAGTCTGCAGTGGTGTTGTTTGTTTTGAAGCGACTTCACTTTAGAGGTAGATTGTGTCTATGAGCAATACCCGTCGTAAAACCTTGCAATGAACCCTTGTTTCTTTTTTCTCAATCAGATATTCTCAATGAGTTTGTACTAGACGGATGTACAACCCAGTTGCAATTTTTATGCCAATTTTAAAAGTTTCTTTAAAGCTCTACAAAAAAGCTGGATCAATCAACATAAAGACCGTTGTCAGTTTTATGAATCTCGTTTCTCGTCTGAGTTGTAGAAAATATTTGATTGTTAAGAAAATTCCATCGAAATGAATGCGATAGGGATTCGACCAGTGGCTTGGTAGAGGGAAAATTTATTAGAGTGAGAATGTTTTTCATAAGAAAGAATTGCTGAAGGAATATCTTTGTGTTAAGTGACATGTTAATGAGTGTGTATATCGGCATGACGAAAAACTTTTCTTTTGTTTTCTAGAAAATGTCACATGTGAAGAAAAAAATTAGACAGTGTTTTGTTGAAGATCGTCTCTCTTTTCCTCTGTACACTTTGTTCGCTCGTGTGGTGCAGTGGTTGGCGGTGCCCTGCAACACACACGTGGAATCGATCCCCACGGTTCTCCAAGCCTTCCATCGCTCCGGGGTCGGCAAATTGGTGCCAAACTTGTCTGGTAGGATAGCAACAATGGCTCGATACATCGGTTGGCCACCATGAGTCACTGTAAAGGCTAGATATCCATTCAATCACCTCCAAACCATGTTTAGTGAAGTTGAATGCATGGCGCATCCCTCAGGGATTGATCAACGTCGAGAGCTTTATCCTTTTATTCTTTTATGCTTAGTTCATTTATCAGTTTATTTGTTTTCTTTGCTATCACTCAATTCAGTCATCATACCGTTGTCATATTTGTAGCCCACCTAAAGTGTTCTCAATGTGGGCTTGAGAACGTGAAATTGGATGTTTAGTTTTCCTTTTCTTCTGGTTCTTTATCCGGCAGCAAAGTAAAACGTTGTATTTGAGGAGGAGATTTTTTTGGGTCTTTTTGGGCATGGCACGATTTAAGAAGTTTCCTCATCACACTGACAGTGTTCACATCGTTCTGGTCGCTGCTAACAACGGCATTGATTCAAGTATGGTTTTGTAGTATTACTCATTCATTTCTCGTTCATCTTAAACTAGAAAGACTTCGCGTCTTCTATTTAATTATTTGTAGTTTAAATGGTATGTGGAAACGCTTGGTATGGTTTCCTTGCTTGTTGAAGCCAGCTTGGGAGCTCCTCAACTGGTTCGAAATTGGCAGAGGAAGTCCACCCAGGGAATGAGGTATTCCGTTTTTGTTTTTCGTATATAGTAAATCTCTAATTGCAAGCGAGCTGGCGATTCAATGGATAGCTAATCAAAAAAAGGAATGGTGTTATCAGCGGTCTGACAGCTGCAATTATGTTAATTTGTAATTATCTTTCTAGGTTTTTTAAAGCTCTTGGTCATTGATGTAAAACTACGGATACATATACGGACTGAAATGATTCGTTTCAAAGAGAGCATTTTAAGATGTGGCCTGTCGTCTTTGTTTTCGTGCTTCATGTTGGCTTCTGTAAAGTCTTTACTCGTCATTTCCGGATGTTAGAGTTGCTTGCTGAATCGTTACACTAATGCTTTCATGTTTTATGTCTAGAGTTTTCGTAAAGAAGCCTGACTGTTGTGTAAAAATATCATTATAATCTACTCTTGAAATCAAGTAGAGCTCAGACACGGGTCCCCTTTCTAGCATTTTTCAGATTCATGACGTATCTATCTGGATTTTGACATTCTGGTGTGTACGGTAGTGTCCACGATCCTTGTCGACATATGTCGGAATTTCGGGTTTTTTCGTTCACTAACGGAAATTGGAGTGCTGCTCGCGTCGTCCTGTCGATAGCACGTTCAGGAACGTTAATAGCGCTTTTACTTTGATTATATTGCGCTCAAATTTCTGAGATGTGTTTGAGCACATTGGCCGTAATGCGAATTGGTTTCAATGCGCTTGTACCTAAAAATAATTAAAACTTCCAACTTCGAACCTCATATCTCCGGTAGCGAAGCGATTTAAGAACCGAATTTGGCCCATTAAAAGCTGATGGTGTCGCCGTTTGTATTGTTTATGTTTACGGTTGTCTGAGTTATTTCGAAAACTGAATTTGCAGTTTGAGGGACTACATATTTCACTAGGGTGATAGAGGAACGCTTCTTCTATCAGTCCGTAAAGTACTAAATTTCTCAAGTTCTCTAGTTATTGGAAATTTATTGGCAGTTGGTGAAAAACTTGTATAGTTGAAAGTATATTAAAACGGAAAAAACAACGAAGAATAAGAGGAGAGCGTCAAATCAGGTGTTCTTTTTTTTTTAAGTATTTTTGTGTACTCTTAAAACTCTTTTGGTCGTTCATTTCCTCCTTTTCGGCTACGCGATAAGCGTGGTAAATCACGTTCAATTCCCGACTCTATTGTGGGGGCAGAGATATTCGTAGCCTTGGGGATGAATAGGCCATCAGGAACAAATTTGTTTTTGTGAATATTAGATTCAGTCGTAGACCTATTTCGGCACATATGCAAACATTCGTTCTGTCTGGCATGGTGTTTTAAAAGCGATTTCATCACCGGCGCAGAGATGGCGTGACTGCTCACCATTGACTTTTACTCCCATTCTGGTTTTAAAATTCTCGAGGATGGTGCTGAATATTTTCAATGGGAAGGAATGGCCCGCTTTATGGAACCTTTTTCTTCAAGTCGATGATGCATTTTTTTCCGACGGCGGAATTCAGGTTGTAGAACTGTTATGTAGTTCACGAATTTCACTATTATGTTAACAACGCAGAAAGCAATTGAAAAACACTTAGGGTTGAACATTCCTTAAGAATTGTGGAATTTCACTCGAAATGACGGCGAAGTGGGAAGGATTTATTTCTCTGATTTTGGAAATTTGGAACAAAAATTTATAGAGTTCGAGTGGAGGGTTTTCGAACCCGCCGTTGGGTATCGTCAGTGATTCGAACTTCTGAGAATAAGAAAACCAGCACAAGTTTATTAGACTACTAAATCAGCTTACCTAGTGATGATGTATAGTACATACCGCATTATCATCATTCTCCATTTTAACAGATTTCTCAGAAAACCTCAGAGGTCTTCTGATCTCAGAGGACGAAAGTTTTAAAAAGTTCTTTAGGAAACAAGCTGGCTTTCAATCATAGTTTAGGTGTCTACTATGTTAACACATAATGCTTGCACTGTTTTAGATTTACAGCCGCATAGGTGGTGGCTTATTTTCAGATGTTCGAGCATGCTGGTTTTCCGAAACTAGATAATTTTTCAATAACTATATGGCTTGAGTGGTTGAGAACCACATTGTGGAAAGGATTCTTAGCTATCACCGTAGGAGTGTAAATGATGTATATACCGCTATTTACTATATGGTATTGTGCTTCACAATACCGACACAATGCTTTCAGAATTTGGAAGAGTTTTTCAAACTAAACTGTGTATTTCACTGTTTTTCTTCGATAAGCAAACACGAAGTTGGTAGCACAGAATTTATTACCATACAGTGGCTAACGTTTCGGCAATTTGCCTTCTCCAGAGCCTGGAACGGTCAAATTGACATGCAATCTACTCGGCCAAACACTTTCATAACCTTAATAGATAGGACTTAACTCCTAAATTTTCATTTGCATAATAAACAGCATTCTTCTAAATGCCCATTGTTTTATTCTTTGTAAGTATTCCAGTTAATTGGTGAAGAGCAGTCGCATAGAGTAATACGTGGGGAGAGGAATGTGTCTGTGTCAGGTCAATGAATTAGCCTGAGGTATAGCGCGAGGTTGTGATAACAAAACACTCCTAGCGTTTTATTTTTGGGTTTTTGGAGTTAGTCCAAAACGGTTCAAGGGTTTTACGCGGTGATTTCTTGGATTCCTGGACGAGGATAGTGATTTCTACTTCAAAATCGTCTCCATTGTGTTTATGTGTCCTATGCGCACCTAGTGGAATGTTTGGTTTCAATTTAAACTTAAACCTAAAACCGATTGGGTATTCTTTTAAGCGGGCACGGAGTGCTGTAGTCGTTTTGCCCACGTATTCATCCCCACACGCTTACAAGAGACTAGGTACACCGTACTTGAACTCATGCAATCAGCGTCTCCTCAGTTAGGGCATATTATGCAATTTTCCGTTCTACACAGGCGGCTATAAATGTGGTTACGAACTAGCTAGCGTTTTAGAGTTTTCGGTGGTACTTCTGCCACTTTTACCAAATTCTATAGACCGTCGCTTCTTGCGCAGCGTTTTATAGCTTCAGTTATTTTCTTCGAAATGACGGGAAAGATGAGCGGAGCCGTATTCTCGCTAGAATTATCGTTTAGGGATTGGTTTTTTCTCCATACCTATCCTCAGGAGCTGCAGTTTCATAGCCATTCGAAATGACTTTTTGTCGGGCCAATTTCAAGCATTCTATTCTTGCTCCCTACTTATGCACACGCTGGTAGCGGTTAGATGCATGCTTCTTATAAGCGCACTTTCGATGTATGAGGGGTGAGAGGAAAGGTAATGAACCACTATGTTTTTACTACTTGGTTTTCCGTAGCATTTTCTAATGTAGCCGTTTCTGGATAGGTTAATTTGAACGTTCAGCAGAAATGGAAGCTAGTTTTCTTTCGGTTTCTGTCAGGTTAATTTTATGTGCTCTGACCTGTGCGGTTGCTCTTCACCATTTCACTGAAATACTTACAAAGAATGAAACATTGAAAATACTTGGAATAAAACGTTCGAAAATAAAAGGAAAAAGTTGGAAATAACAGTCAATTGCTCTTCATATTACCTTATTAATCGGTACCTATTACCCTATTATCCCGTATATAACCCTATTAATACTCTGTGCGGTTGCTCTTCACCAATTTAATGGAACACCTACGAAGAACGGAACGGTGTCTCTTTAAAGGAAGCTGTTTGTTATGCGAATGCAAATCGGTGTTTTAGGTCTTATCTGCTAAGGTTATGAAAGTGTTTGGCTGAGTAGATTGCATGTCAGTTTGACCATTCCAGGCCCTGAAGGAGGCGAAATCGCCGAAACGTCGGCTATTGCATACTAATAAATCCTATAATACCAACCTCCTGTTTGCTCATTGAAGAAAAACAGCGGATTATCAATCAATGCAGAAGTTGACAGAAAATTGGTATTGGGAAGTACACTGTTTATATTTCGGTATTTTTCATATCCACCTCTTCTGTACGATAAGCGTCATTCATTATAGCAGATAAAATTGAAAATAACAGTCAATTGCTTATCGTATTACGCTATTGGTCGGTCATAAAAACTGTAGGGAAAGTGGACTGTGCACCAAAATAAACTGTGTGGAAGAAAATGGCTCCTTTATGGCTTCTACTGGCCATTCGGTGTTCCACCTGTGATTCTATAGAATATGACTGTCCGTTGTGTAGTAAAGGAGTTCAGAGTATGTTGCAACAATATGTTTTATTACAGCATTCCAATGGTGTTGGCGTGGCTTTGCGGAGATCTGGCAAAGACCGCATATTTCGTGGCTACAGGTAGTCCGTTACAATTCTGGGTCTGTGCTATATTGCAGGTCTGTCCGTTTCTTTTGTAGTTATTTATTTGTCATTTTTTCTCTTGTTTCGGATTTTAAAATTACTCTAGATAGGCTTAAACTATATTATGCCCAATTATTGTTTGTTCTTATTGTGCAAAAGTACAAATATCACTTTCCACGGTTTCCAAGTTCAGAATTTTCAAAACGTTTTAGATTCGAGGAAGGTTTATGCAATCATGACCAAACTATAAATCTCTTTGTGTGACGTGTACTTTGATTTCGTCTCCCATGATGGAATAAAGAGGACGTATGTGGCGCAGTGGTCGGAGGCGTCCTGCAACATACACGTGGAATCGATCCCATGGCCCACCAAGCCTTCCATCCCTCCTGGTTCGGCATATTGGTACCAGACCTGTCTGGGAAGATAGCAGCACTGACTCGATAAATCGGTACGCCACAGCGAGTCATCGTAAAGACCAAATATGCATTGAATCACCTCCAAACGATGCTTATCGAATGCATGACACCACCCTCAGAGATTGAACAACGCCTAGAGCTTTATCCTTTATCCTTTATGAAGGAATAATGACTAATTTCACAAATCTAGTAATATCGCTAGGATTTTTCGCTTTCGTTCCAGATCTCAATCGACATATTCATTCTCGGCCAAGTACTTGTGTACCGGAACAACAGCGGTGCATCTGAACTACCTTATAATTCTAATTCGCCACCACATTCAGTCATCGACTGAAATATATAGGCGGGCAAGAAATTGTAGTAACAGCTGTTTTTCAACAGATTCTCTTTATGTTATCAGCAGCGCCATTACTTCTTTTATTGCTGCAGACTAAGTGTTTCTGTTACTACTACAAATGCCACGTAAATGATGGCGCTTCATGTTCGAGGAACGACCCTCGTCGGGGATTTCTCACTGAGAAATTTATTGATAGAAGCAGAAATTTCTGAGGACAAGAGGGCTTCCGCTGCAGTGGGCGGAAATTAGGCTTTTTTCTTCGATTTTTTGTGCTTTGTTTTTCTAGAATCTAAGTGAATAATGTACGAAAATAGGTATCTGTTGCTCTACTTGATGATCTGAAATGTGTGTGATTTCATCTAATTAAACATTCGAAAGAGTGTTTGCAGTATGTTTGTTCCTCGTTCTGCATGTTCAACCTTACTAGCTTTAATTGTACATTTTTTTTTTGTTATTTCTCCTGAAAATTGCGTTAGCCGTGGGCTAAACCGGGAGCTCAGATTCGATAGTAACGCGAAAGCATTAGGTTTATTGTTTGGTTCTTGGCATTTTCAATACGTGGGCTTGTCATTCAGCTACATCGTCTCTCAGATTTCGTTGTGACCATTACTGTACTTTGGTGGCAGCTAAGCCTTTTTAGTACTTTGTCCTCTTCCAACCAGTTCTTGATTTATCCCGTTCTATTTTCTCTGTGATACATTTTCTTAGATAGTTTACCTTGCAGGGAACTGCTTCTGAAGAGACGGTTCTGTTTTTTTTTTTTTTTTTTATCGCAGAGCGATAATTCTGCACCTCCTTAAATGTTCGCTTGTATATGTATCCCTTAATGTGTCAGGTGTTCTCCAACATTTCTACGTCATAATATCGGTGTTTTGCTTAATGCTGTAATTCGACTATGATAAATAGTTTAGATCGTAATATGAAAGACTTTACTAGATGATTGTCGCGTCATAACTGTCAAGTTATATCATACATCTATCATATTTTATCCTAACTTTATTATCTTGTGGTTTCACGGACTAGTATTTATTATTGATTCAAGCCAAGTGGAGCTCGTAAAGAAGCCAACTTGTCTTCGAAATGTTTTGTAACAAGTTTATACAAATGAAACTATTCTGCTTTCCAATACCGAACGCTCTTCATGGCACCGAACGCACCTCATGGAGCGTTAATCACGACTCGGTTGGAGAGTTTTCTGTCGTCGGAAAGCGGTTGTACTAAAGTATATCGTTTTTTTCGAACTGGTACACTTTAGCTGTGTCCTTTCCAAGTTGATACCAAAATCGATCTCATTGCAAGTAATTGTTGTCGTCATCACAAAAGGAGTCGAATCCCAGAAATCTTCATTGCCTGGTCTAATGTCCCGTTTCATCGAATGATCTTAGCGTATCTGAATCTTTTTACAGTTAACTAATGTGTTTCTTTTTCGGCAGTTCTTGTATGGACGTTTAGGAACCCGTACCAATTCATCCTGAAGTCACCGCCGGGCCGGTAATTCTCGGTCGGATTGGATTAAGATGAAGATTTACGATCATATAGCTGGGTTTTTTCCAAGACGGCAATAGTTTGCGCCATTTACTACCTGCCCTGGGCTTTTAAATGGAGACGTCGAACTCATTCTCAGCCCAAGAGACCATGCCGAAAGATCGGACCTTATTGTGTATTGCGCATTTACATTCACGTTACGGTGAGGAGGAACGTTTGAAGTAGCTCTTAATCTAGGTGAAATTGACAGAAGGGAAATAATTGGTTCTATTTATGTTGTATGAAGAAGCTCGCTTTTACCTTGATGTTTGATTTCGCGCTTGATTAGATGTTGAATTTCAAAACTCGGGAAAGGGTTTCGACTTTTAGGATTGTGCAATCCTAGGTTTGTTTTGACCGTTATGGTGACATAGCAGTGTTTAAAATGTGGCTTTGTTCTCGACTAAACAGTTTTCATGTGATCTTCGTCAACTGGAGTATGGGCGAATGAAAAAAAAAAGAATTTCCGTAACTCGAACGAGTAAGTTTATGGTGGTTGCCAGGTTAATACTATTACAGTGGGTTGATGAGTTAGTTATCTGGTTATTCGTTTTATGTTTCATTGTGAACATCGTGTTTTTTTTTACTGTGGCGAGGCACTCGGCAAGATTGAGGGAAACGATCTCGAAAAAATTCTAATCTACTCCAAAACCAGTCTCAATCTCATCGTAAGAATCGATTCTGTAGACAAGGGGATGTTATTTTTCCCTTTTCCGAGCACACTTGGTCTATATTTTAAGGGAAAGGTGAAAAGGTAATGGAACGGTGGTGAGTTAAACATCCACACCGGAACAGTGCATTGATGTTCGGCAAGAAGTGCATAGTCTACGTTTTTTCGAGTGTGTTCGACTTAAATTCTATGTAAATCTTTATTCTTGAATGAATTATGAACTTGGTTCACCAGCTGAAAATCTCTTGTGCGTTTGTTCCGTTGTGGTACTCTGGTCATCTGTGTTCTTCTTACGTTATGTCATTTCGTTCTGCTCAATTTGAAAGGGTGAAGCATTTCTACTTTTTGGACGTGCTTTAGGGGGCTAATGAGTCGAGAAGCAACGAAACGATACGAGACGATCAAACATCTGGGAGAAGGACAGGTCTCTTCACCTTTTAAGAATAATTTTAAGTCGTTCGTGATAAGAACGTCTAATAACATTAACGAAATTATGAGTCATATTTGGCTCACTCGTGTTCAAGAAATAAAATTTGAAAATGTCGGCAGATACAAACTCTAAAAGACCTGCATTGTTTTTAATTTGTTCCTTGTGTGTTCTTTGCATGTCATCAGAACGACAGTGCTTACAGTTTGCAAATGTGTACAAGGCGAAGGACAAAGAAACAGGAGATTTTGTCGCCATAAAGAAGGTGAGGTATGACCGTTAACGCTTGTAGTGGTGAAATTAGGAGCAGAAAATAAGCGCCGTTGGCGGTGTCCTGTAATTTTGCCAACTGCTTCACGTTATATTACGCCTAAGGTTCTCTGCCCGTCCGTATCCTTTATTTCTGGTTTCGCTACTCTTGTTGTAGTTTAACTAGCATGTTATAGGAACGAAAGGATTAGTTAATTTTTGTTTCAACATAATATTTGGAGCAATGAGTCTTACAAAAATTGTACTAATGTCAATTGCAAAAGCTACACACGAAGTGGCTAATCTCCCTATCGAAACAGATCGTCTGTGACGGCGACCTGCGAGAAATACAACCAAGCTACCTCAGGACTCTAAGGAAAAACAAGCAGTCTCCTAACGGCACAATTGGTCTAGAAACCCATCACATTCTCGCAAATAGGTGGTGGTGCCTTTCTGACACCTCCGTGGTGCCATCATTGTGTACTGTATCCTTTCACACCCTCATTTGCGAAGATTTTATTCACGAGTAAGATAAAAAGCCAAACAAGACAACACGTACATGACGACAACATTATGAATGGAATTGTTTTGATACAGGAATATTATACATCAACGAAGACAGCGAAGTCGCAACCGGAAGCTACGAACTGCTTGTCGAAGGACTTAAAAGATATAGCGACGATGCCTCGTTTCTTCAAACATCAAATTTTAACCGTAGAAAAATCCATAGTTCGATTCTATTAAAAGTAAATCAAAAAGTGCCTTAAGAAATGTCTTAATTTTGTTTACTGTCTACTGTTCTTTCATGGCAGGGTTCTATATGAAATAGGACCACAAGGATTCTGAGATGTGAACAAAACCCGAAACCCTCAGTTAGGCTTTATACCTACGATTACTTTTGTCGGGGTTCACGTACTATCCGCCACACTAACTGAGAAGGTTGCTTTACTTTCTTCTCTTTCATATTTTCACTCTGTTGGTATTATCACTTTTTGCTGATTACTAAGGTAAACACTTTATTTAGATCAAACTGGGTTCGCGAGCCGAAGCGAAGGATGGCATTAATAGGACGGCGCTTCGTGAGATCAAACTTCTACAGGAGATTCATCATGACAATATTATAGGAGTTAGTTGAATCTACATTACTACTTCGTTGTCCTCTAAAAAGCATATTAACTTGAGTTTTTTTAGGAGGTTCTAAGATGTCTCATGAATTATTGTGAGAGATGTTTCTAAATTCATGGAAAGCATGGTTTAAATACAAGAATGGCCATAAATTTTCCTGATGCACAAGTTTAATATTTCTTTCTGGGTAACATATCACATTGCTACAAGGACTGAATAAGATTTATGTTGATAAAGTATATTTTGGGATATAAACGTATAGCTTATAGTATAGCGTATAGTCCAACGGCTTACCGCCTCATCGTGGCTGCAAGGTGTACCTGGGTGTCGGGTTGCGATGTACAGCGGGGGATTCATCTCCTTGGCATGGTCTCCCAAGTTGAGAAGGAGTCCGGTGTATCCGTCAGGATGCCTAGCTAAGAGTAAACCAGTACGAAGAACTACTATAGTCCTCGACGTGAAATTAGTCACATGGTGGCAATTCTCACTCTAACCCACAAGGGCTGCGACTGCTTGTAGTAGTGAAAACCTGGAGCAAACTTTGGCCAGACTGCCCCGGGACTCCACGGAACCACAATGGCTAATCCAGTAAAACTCCGAAGAAATGGAAATTATGTTCGGGCTTCACAACCGGTGAGGACAGACCATTCAAGTATCAAGTATCAAGTAACATATAGTTCTTCAATATATATATATATATATATATATGTATATATATATATGTATATATATATATATAACATATAGTTTGATCTCATTTTGAGTTCCTATCGTTGTTTTCCATTTTTTTACTCATCAAGTAAGCTGGAGACCTTTTTATGTTTTTGGACCATCGTTTAAACTGGTCTAGTATCACTGTAAACTAGAATAATGTTTAATATGACTGGTTCTCGAGGAACTGCTAAGCTTCAAAACAGCATAAAACAGCAGCGTAGGCAGGAGGTCATTATTTCTTAATAATTGTCTTACACGGCTCAACTTTCACATCTACTGTGCGGTTTCCTGCATTTCTCACATTCGATTCATTTCCTCGCATCCGTCATCTACGAAGGTCTTCCAACTTTAACATGTGGCGTCTTTCAACTTCTTGAGGATTTTCCCTTCATCATAGATGTTATTGAATGTTGGTCAGGTTGATTCCCAATGGAATCCTAAGTTAGGGTTTCCAGTTGGGTTTCAGGGAGATATTTTCTCGGACAAGTTGGGTACCAATTGCCTGACCGCGAAGGCATGAGACTTGGTGAGCCCGAAGCAGTGCTCTGTGCTAGCTGGTAGTAAGACCGCCTTCTGTAGGATGGCTTGTCCGGGAAAAACAAGTTATTATCACCAATCAGTCACTGTCAGCAACAGCCGTTTTGTACAAAAGGAATTAAATAGTCCTTAAAGAATGCAAAGTAGAAGTAAGGATGGAAATAATGAAGTATTTCTTTTTGGAGGAAATAATTACTGTTTGTAAATTTCGTGACGAAAAAATCTGCCGTACTTATTTCATTTACCTAGTAGCATTTGTCCTCCCGTTAGCTATAATTGCCATGGCATTCAAACGGGCACCGATTACGAGGTTAACAGTCTTTGTTCCACGTCAGAGCTTCCTTTTGGATTGCTTAAACTTCTCCACTTCTCATGTTAGCCCTCTATTTATCGCTGGCTAAAACGCAACCACTGGTACTCTTCGTCCTGCTTTGGTGCTGGGTATTGTCGCAGAATGACAAGTTAGTCGCGTGTTCGGAGCTGGTCTTGAAACCTATGTTTTGCAAATATCTGAGCATCATAGAAGTGGCATTCCAAACCATAACCTTTCTTGAAAATAATAATAGGCAGTAAATAAGAAAGTTAGCAAGTCTAGATATGTGTCTAGATAATATAACCACTTTTGTGCTCATTTGATTTGGAACTGGTCCGAGATGCCGCCGAGTCACCTTTCACAAACTTCACATTCACTTGACTAAATGCTTTCGGCTGAATTGACACGTAGAGTGCAATGAACAGACGTTGAAAAATATCTACTCACCAATATTTGTATATTTGTATTCTAAAGGAATTAAGTTAAGTAAAAGAAGCAAGTAATACATGTCCTTAACGCAAATCTTGAGCGGCCGTGCTTTCTACAGCATTTCTTTAAGCATTCCTTATTTAGCTGCGGGACGTCATCGGATCTCGAACGAATATCCAGCTAGTATTTGATTTTATGGAAACGGATCTTGAGGTGATCTGAGTCTACATTTCTTCGATGGTCAATGTATTTCCGCCCATTTTCAGCACGTGGTCAAAGATCGTGACATTATTCTGATGCCACCACATATTAAAAACATGGCAATGCAGACGTTGCTTGGTTTGGAGTTCTTACATGTTCACTGGATCTTACACAGGGTAAGTAGATGTACTTACTTGATACTTCAATGGCCCGACCTCACTGGTTGTACGGGCTCCAGCATAATCTCTACTTTTCGGAGATATGCTGGCTAAGCCATTGTGGTTTCCTGGAATCCCGAGGTCAGCCTGGCCAAAGTCTGCCCCAGGTCTTCATTACCACAGGCAGTCGCATCCCTTGTGGACCAGAGGTATATTTGCCACCATGCGGCTTTTATACCAGGTCGATGGTGAGTACTGGTATTGGTTTACTCTTAACTAGGCTTCCTGTTGGAAACGCCGGACTCCTTCTCAGCTTGGGAGACTCTGCCAGGGGGATGAATCTACCCGTTGTACATCGCAGTCCGACATCCCGGAACACCTCCCGGCCACGATGAGGCGGTAAGCCGTTGGGAGGCGTAGATGTACTAGAATTATGATGTTTAGTATGTGTTGTAGATATATAAATCGTACTATATCATTTGATTCATAAAGTAATGACGTTATTGTCAAAGGTGATTTTCAGTGTGTTGTCTTTGAATTCATGTTTAAGTTAGTTATCCCGGATTTGATTTGTTTTGAGAACGTAGTGAAATATTTAAAAAATAGAGCTTAAAAATGAGCACAATATTATTTTATTTATATCGACACACTAGAACCTAGTCTGTTGTAACCTTTTTGTTCAGCGAATTTTATATATTCTTGTCTGTTTTTATGCATGAGACCTTGTGCATGCCGCTGAAGGCTATGTGTATTGCTACCCGATTCGTCTCCATGCGATTACGATGACCCCATACCGGAAGAATAAATAACTGTTGACAATCGAATCGGATCAATCCAGCCGTGAAAAAAGCGAAGGCGCCGAAACGTTAGCCGAATTAAGTTCTTCATAAAGCTCGTGTTGGCTTATCAGTAGATGAATACATATTGTATTGTTATTGTTTTGTACATCTTCAGCTGTAACATTTTCAGTTTTTACTGTATGTACAGCATCTAGAAGTGTAAGACAGATTTGGCTTTTGCAGGATCTTAAACCGAACAACTTGCTCATGAACAGCGCCGGTCGAATCAAACTAGCTGATTTTGGTTTGGCTAGATTTTTTGGTTCACCGAACAAGGTTTACACTCATCAGGTAGTCCTTTCTTTCGTTGCTCGTGAAATTAGTATCTTAAAGTCCAGGAATTTTCATTTTCCTTAAGAGTAAGACCTGCAAGAAAGGGGCGAATAGTGCAGTGGTAATAGCGCTGTTCATCACGAGTACGATGCTAGTTCGATCTCGCGCCCTATTCGTTAAGCCTTCCATATCTTCATGATCGGAAAATTTGTACCAGACTTGACTTATCTGGGATCAGCTCACAACCTACAGTCCACGTAGGAACGCCCGAGCACGGCTATCGTAGGACTCTAGGGAGAGTCGACTTGACCAACATGCAACGACATTTGTAACGAAGACGAGTTTCCTTAAGTTGCAGCGGAGGCCACACCCAAAAGTTAGAAGATCTTTGTGGATTACGGATAGGAAGAAACGAATTGAATGGAAGAAGTGATGTGATATGCAAAGTAGGTGTTAAGACTGATCATGTAAAAATATACCGGCTTAAAAAGCAATTATATAGTAACTATTCCCTAAATAGTTCCTATTTCTATGTTACCTTATGTCTTCTACGATAGCTGTTTTACTTGTAGTCGTCATACATCTATTCTGCCACATTCTTTAAATTGTCTCTTAACAACCATTTCAAACATTTACCTCGCAGCTGAGCTAGAAAGAGATACTGTAACTTCTTTGTATCTCCTCTCTTCTTCGTTCGATGATTCGGGCGCTGAATAAGCCACTGCCAGCTGCATGTACTTTCAAGAAATTGGCAGTTCCCATGCACTTTTTGTGTAAGCCTTTGTATGCCCTTCACGAACTCTTTTTACAAGAAATTGTACTAACTGAAAAAGTACATAACCTCTCTTTGAGCACTGTCTCTGATCCCCTCCGTAAAATCACACTCATTGCAGACAATATAAGGAGCACCATTAGCCATCAAAACAAGTGCATGTCCTCCAGTCAACCAGTGTCTGTCTTCCAATCTTCCTTTCCTTATCTTCCAGTCCTTCAGTTCCTCAGTGTTCGAACTCCAGTGTCCGCCTATCTTCCTTTAAGTGTATCACTTGTTCTTATTTAAATCCCGCTCGTATCCACCCAACTTACATATCATCAAATATCACATATTATTACTGCATTGTTGTTGTTACTATAAACTTTTATACTCCAAATTTGAGGTGGTTCACGGCAGTTACGGAAAAAAGTCTCGCGTGGCGAGTTTATATAGAGTTGAGCATTCCACGTATAGTTGGCGGGCAAAAGGCAAATCCGACCAACTCCCTAATTCACTGGCCAGCAAGCACAAGTTGTTGCATTGGTCTATCCAAGTCGAACTCTCAGCTCAACTCAACTCAACGCTCAACGTTACTACTCGGTCAACCTCTTGCATCAACTAGCACAAATGAAACCCCGGCCTGAGCATTTTCTGATAGCCGCGAATGGTTGTATAGCTCGAATTTTGTGCTTGTACAGTTCTTCTGCGAATTTGTACATGGAAAATAAATAGTATAAATGTGGTGGTTCATTTTAGCGGGAAATGGTGCTGTTACCACTTCTTATCCCTCGTTAATTAATTCCTTCGAATTCTTGCATTTGTTTTGTGCATGGTTGTAATGAATTCTTCGAATATAAAGGTAACATTATTCTTGGCGTTTAGGTAGTTACTCGATGGTACCGTGCACCAGAACTGATTTGGGGTGCGCGAGCATATGGAGTAGGGGTGGACATGTGGGCGATCGGCTGCATCATCGCTGAATTACTTCTGAGGGTAACGTTTTCTTTTGCGTTTAGGTTATTCGTCGCTACGCTACACAAACTAGTTAGGCAATTTACAGTATTTTTGGCGATTTATTAGTTGTTGACTAGTGCCTTCAGTATTAACTTTTTCCTAGTTATTTCAACGAATTCTATTGCGGTCAGTAAAGTACTTGAAGTATCAAAGGTTTAGTAAGTTTAAAATCTTCTTCATACCGCTCGCCTTCTCTCTCTTTATATATATATATATATATATATATATATATATATATAAAGCTTCTCGGCGTTGATCGATCCTTGGGGGATGCGCCGTGTATCTAACTTCATCAAGCATGCTGGAGGTGACTGAATGCATATCTGGCCTTTACATGACTCGCAGTGGCCTACCGATGTATCGAGCCAGTGTTGCTATCCTCTCAGACAAGTTTGATACCAATTTGTCGACTCCGAAGGGATGGAAGGCTTCGTAAGCCTGGGGCGCGAGGATCGATTCCATGTGTATTGCAGGGCGCTTTCGACCACTGCGCCACACACCCCACGCTATATATATACATACATTTATATATATATACATATATATATCACCGGGATCTCCCTCATAAGAGAGATCTGGGGCCGTTAGTCGTGAGGCTACGTGGCGCGCCCCCATGTGTCGGATAGGATGTTAATCGCGGATCAAAAGCGACTTTGCTTCCCTGAGACGCAGGTGGATCCAGGGAGTCGACTCCCTGTTTTTGCTCCGCCGACTTGGAATACACTTTCTGTATTTGTTAGGCGTATTCATGCATGCGTGTGTGGGTGCGTTCTCGCGTATGCGGATTGTATTCTACGAGTAAATTTGGCCAAAATCCTGCAAGCAAGTTACAGGGAAGTATATGAGAGGCGGTTAGGAGTCCCCTCCAACAAATAAGCTCAATGTCCACTCTGGGAGAGCCTTGCAGGCTACCCGTGAGTATACCCAGCCCTCACGTTCAAAGCCCAGCTAGCTATACGTGGGTGTCAACATGTTGAACACAGTAAAAAGAAGAGGTCTCGTTCTCCTCACTCCGAAAGAACCCTTATTTCCACAGCGTTGGGTAGGACGAGTACGAGAAGTTGCTAAAATCTCAGAGGCAATGGAAGCTGTCTGGATCACGAAGAACTATGGTGACGTATATTTATTTATGTGATCTTATAAACTGATCTTCTTAAGCTGACGCGAGGTTGGTACAGATCTTCGTTGTCGTTGTCGTTCTTTTTGATGTTATTGATCGATGGCTGACGTTTCGGCGACTTCTCCTTCCTCAGAGCCTGGACGTACTTTATGTTAGAATACTTTTTATTATTCGGTGAAAAAGAAGGTTAAAGTATTAGTGAAGATCAAACCTTCAAATAGACGCCATATTTAACAGAAAGGTCACTCAGCGTGATGTTATGTGCGGGACTGGCCGACACGTAGTTTACGCGAGCAAGACACGCCCCGGGGTCAAAATATCATTTTGAAATAGGGCGCCAGGTCACGCGTGATAGTGAGGCATTCGTCCTTCCGGTTCATCTTTGGATTTTTGAAATTTATCCAAAACGCCTCAAGAGTTTTGCGCGTTGATGTTTTTGATTCCTGCGCTAAGATCCGCACATTCACTTCAAAATCTTCTCTCTTGAGGCGTGTCTTGCTCGCGTGAATTACGTATGGGCCACTCTCGCACGTAACATCACGGTGAGTGGCCTTTCTGTTCAATATGGCGTCTATTTGAAAGTTTGATCTTCATTAATACTTTAACCTTCTTTTCCACCGAATAATAAAAAGTATTCTAACATAAAGTACGTCCAGGCTCTGAGTAAGGCGAAGTCGCCGAAACGTCAGCCATCGTTCAATAACATCAAATTTCAATAACATAACATCAACGACAACGACAACGACAACGAAGATCTGTACTAACCTCGCATCAGCTTAAGAGGATCAGTTTATAAGATCACATAAATAAATATATCAACTATCTATGCCGAGGTTCATAGAAAGTCGGTCTTTCGAGTTACTATGGTGACGATCTGTACCTACAAGGCAGGTGCACTTGCATCCGAGTCCTCGATAGAAGACTTGCTCATGCAAGCAAGATGGACAAAGTACGACGTCATCTTCTTCGCCGAGACGAGAAGACGCCAATCTTTCAACGCCGTTTATGACAGCGGAGAAGAACTGTTCCTCGGAACATGCGACAGTCGGCGGCGTCGGCGTTTTCGTCAACACGAGTTTGGCTTTGAACATCGATTCATTCGAACAACTTACAACCCGAATCGGACGTTTACGATTAAAAAGAAGTGAATCAATTCCGGTTTTGACAGTCTTCTTCGTTTAAGCGCCAACATCAAACTATGGCGAAGAGGAAGTCGAAGCGTTCTATATGGCCTTGGAGAAGTTCTACAGAGAACACCACACATTCTTCAAGGTCATCATTGGAGATTCCAACGCCAAGATTCTACCAAGAAGAACGTCTGAAGAACATCACATTGGGACTCATGGATTAGAATGGAACGAACAGGGTGAGCGGCTGTCTGAGTTTATCATGGCGACCAAGACAATCCATGGTAACTCGCAATTCCAGAAACCCCACCCTCAGCGCTAGACGTGGGAGTCTCCCAATGGAGAGTACCATAACGAAATAGACCACATCGTAGTAAATAGAAGGTTTTGCCTAACCGATGTCGTTGTTGTCCCAAAATTCTACGCGGGATCGGACCATCGTCTCCTTCGTACGAAATTCTATTTCTCGCGGAAAGGGGAAAAAGCCTCTAAATTTCGAAACCGAAGTCCCAGAACCACCGCAAACTGGGACTCATTCAATACATTAGTCAGCTGTTGGGAAGATTCCGTTGTCGATAACATCGACGAAGAATGTGATCGGCTCAGTCAACATCTTCACGCTAGCGCTGTGAGAGCTGAGTTCGAAAATCAGCAAGAGACGTTTGTCTCCAGAAACACTCGAGCTGATACGCCACCGTGGAATCGCACGAGCTGTAGGCAACCGCGAACTGTCGTCCAAACTTGAAAACAGTGCAGACAGGCGATAAAAGAACATCTTAGAGAGAAAAGAGCATCAGTAATGATCGAAGCTGCAGAGTCTGGGAAAAGCATTCTCAGAGCCTGCCGAAGCTTCGTCAATTACAAGACCGAGATGATTGCACTCCGGCGCCCAGGCGGAATAGTTACAGTATCCAGAAAGGCAATGGATAAAATCGTTCACGAATACTACTCAGATCTCTTCAATAGCCACGTCCACCTCTCATTGTATGAAATAAAGGAGGATGGATATTTTGTACCACCATTTCTCCCTTCCGAAATTCGACATGCCATTTCGTCGGTGAAAAATCGAACAGCACCAGGTCCGGACAGGATAAGACCAGCACACCTGAAGAACCTTCCGCCAGTCCTCGTAAACACATTGGCTCGGCTCTTAACACGTTACCTGTGTGAATGCAAGGTCCCTACTTAGTGGAAGACCAGCAACACTGTGTTGTTGTTTAAGAACGGTGACCTACACGATATCGGCAACTATCGCCCATTCTGCTTACTGTCTGTCGTCTACAAATTTTTCACACGAGTCATCCTAAACAGGATTGACAGAACACGGGACGAAGGACAGCCATGTGAGCGAGCAGGGTTTCGTAGAGGATTTAGTACAATGGACCACATCCACACGGTAACACGACTCACTGAAGCATCTCGAGAGTACAAAAAACGCTCTGTCTCACTTTCATAGATTTATAGAAGGCCTATGATTCGGTTTAGATAGAAGCAGTCTTGGAAGCCCTTGATAGTCAAGGAGTCCCTACTCAATAGATAAAGACTCAATAGATAATTGCTCCTTCGTGAGCTTAACAAAAGTTTCACAACCAAGATATCACCATTCTACAGCTATATTAACATTGACGTTAAAAGAGGAGTTAGGCAAGGCGATACCGTATCACCAACGCTGATGACATCGTTCTTATAACACCAAACATTAGTCAACTAGAACGTATGCTTGACGACTTTGATAAAGCCTGTGGAAAGATCGGTTTTCGTCTAAATCTCACAAAACCATATTCACGAGGAACGGATTGGTTTCGCATGCCCCATTCACGCTCAACGAAACGAATATCTCCGGACGCTCTAGTTATGTCTGTTTAGGTTGGGAAATGAATATGATGAATTCACTTAACTCCAGAGTTGAGCGGAGGGAAATGAGCGGCTTGGGGAGCTTTCAAGAGCATCGACGATGCAGTGAAGAGAACAAAGAACATCCATGCCTACCCTTTGGACTCAATGGTGCTTTCTGCCTTAACATTTGCGTCAGAAACCTGGTCACTGCGTAAGTAGTATGAAAGATCACTCATTGTTATCGAACGCGCAGTCGAAAGGATGATGCGAGAAGTATCCCGTTCCACACAAGCACGGGATGGGATCTGAAGCTCCGATCTACGTCAACGATGAAAAATGAAAGATGCTGTTCTGTAAGCCAAACAGTCGAAGATAAGTTGGGCCGGACACATAATGCGTATGAATGACAACCGATGGACAAGAACCATTACTGACTGGATTCCTCGGGACGTCAAACCTACTGCAGGAAGACCACCGACCCGATGGTCAGAGTTCTTCACGAAGAGCCTAGAAGAGAGATATGATGTTCGAGTCCCTGGAGCGAGCAGAACTTTCTGGGCTACTTTTGCACCTGAGAGGGAAAGGTGTAAGATTTACTAGCGCCCGCTCGAGTCAATCGACAATCAACGGGACTACAGATATATATATATATATATATATGTATATATATAAATGTGTCGTTTTCTTGCTCAGCAATCGCGAGGTTTTTAAACAGCATACATTTACTTCCGTAAAGAAAACACAATACAATACAACGCTAGCTGACGTTTCGGCAGTATCGCCTTCTTCAGAGCCTGGAAGGGTATACTGATATACAATCTACTAGGCCAAACGCTTCAATAACACTTACAAAAAGACGAAGAACTCTCCGGCAATTACACAATCAACAACTTCTCGAAAAACCCACCGCTTTTTCGTGACTTCCAATGAGGAAGTTTAGAACAGCTGATTATAGTCGCATGTGGTTGACGACTGCACCATCC